CTTTTTTTTTTTTTTTTACATATGAAGCTCTCTTAAGGTACCAAAGGCTAACATTGGACTTCAGCTGCTCTTCGTTTTGCAAACAAACTGCTGCGATAACTGCATCGATTATTCCTTTGAACAAAGACCGACAACATCAAACAGGCACGACTCGTGGGAGAAAGCTTGTTGTTGACGGCCGTTGCATCGCTCACGAAACGTCGACACAAACTATGGCTGCACTGGTTCAAACCTACCCCCAGCAAACTTCCACGGTTACGATGCTCCAGACCAGACCGTCTTCATCGGCAGGCATGATACCCAACAACCAAGGCCAGAATGGCCACCAGTATGCAGGAGCATCTCAGACCCCACGATATGCTGCGCCATCTTCTACCGGATATCGTGGTAGTTCGGCTCCCGTTCAGCAGTACGCTTTTACGAGTACGCCTACTCTGAACCATACACAGTCTTGGCAAGCTCAACAAACTCAGCCTTCACGAACTTACAATCACAATGTCAACTACAGTGGACGTCAATTCAGCTCTTCTGGAAACAACATGCAATATAACTCCATGGGTGTCGGTCAAACTGGTGCTCGTGATGATTCGGCCATTCCTCAACGACGAAACATTGTACCCGCTCCTCGACCTCACTCTGCCTTTCTTGCTGGTCCCACACAGCCAGTCTCCCCAACTTCACAAAGCAAAGCAGCACCGGACCGATATAGACGCTCGCTCACTCCTCAGCAAAATCAACATGGACGCTCTCAGAGCACAGCTGTACCTGTGAACACTGGAATGCCCACAGCAAACCAGCTTTACAATGGGCCTAATCCTTCTCGTTCAGCAATCCCAAACCGCCCGAACAGTTTCTACAATGCTATGCCCGGCGCAACCGCGGATGAGATGCAATTCGCCTACTCATCCATGGAAGACCCCAGTCGTTCACGCCGGCGGACCGTCCGTGCCAACTCCGACGTTTCAAGGCCAACCGCACAAGACAAGGCAAAGGCTGATGGGAATTCTCAAAGTCTTCGTGTTGTCGCCAATGCCGCTGCGCACTCCCGCAATGAGAGCTCTGAGAGTGTAAACTCCAGCCGTAGCAGCCATTCTCGTCCGTCCTCGGTAAGTTTGTTGATCCTTGAAACATTGCCCAATCAGCAATCACTGGTAAAAACGGTATGCTAACAGGGATGTCATGCAGTCTGCCAACCGCAATGTGTCTGCCCCCACTGGAAACCCCTCTTCCCAGACAAGCAACGAAACAACTTCTAAGCAGGATCACGCCAAGGTCAACGTCCCACCTCGAGGTTCATCTTCTGATGCCATCAAGCGCACAACGAACCCCTCACCTCTCTCTAGGCCAGCCACCATGGCCAGCGAGGTCGCCGAAGACAAATCCTCTGGTGCGGGTAATATGGAATCGCCCGCGGCTAAACAACTCGCTGCTATCAACAAAGGGCGCAAGTCCAAGAGCAAGACCTCTCGACTGCGTCGAGCTTTCTCGTTCGGCAGCGCTGCAGACTTCCGCAAGGCTGATGAGGAGGCTGAGGCATCAGATAAAACAGAACCATCCAAGCTCCACAAGGACCCCACGGTCGACGAAGCCTACGATGCTGAACAAGCACGTATCGCAGAGGCACAGGAGGCTGCAGGCCTAGGACACAGTATCTATGGTGGTAGATTCTTCGGCGGTTCAACCGACAATCTTTCAATCTCATCGACAGCGTCTTCAGCCTCTATCATGATTCGAAAGATGGGTCGGGGCATGAAGAAGGGTGGTCGATCGTTTGTTGGAATCTTCCGACCAAAGTCAGTGGTTGGAGTTCCCCCGGCTGACGGTCCCGTGAAACCCGAGGCTAGTCAAGCTGCCGTGTCAATGGTCACTGTCGAAGCTGAGACACAACGAGTCAACGTATCGGCTGATCCCAGACAAACGGACACCTTCCCCCATTTGGAGCGTAACTCTATTGACACGAGCTTGGGTATCGACATCGCCGAGCGCCTGGGAAGCTCTGGAACCGATAACTCGAACTCCCGCAAGAGTATTGTCGGTGGCGACAGAGAGCGCGCGGAGGTCCTTGCCGCCGTTCGCAAGGGTATTCTCAAGCGTATGTATAATTGCCTCGTCATGGATTCCTTAAACTAACATGATCACTAGGTCCCGGTTCAGCCAGCCCTTCCATCCGACCCGCTGACGCTTCCCCCGGACTGGACCTTCCTAGCCTACCTGCTGTCAATGATTCGCCCAATTCTAGCGCCCCCAGCACTCCCAACGATGATTCTCATCGACGCACTGGATCGATTGCTATCGGTACCGAAGACTATTTCATGTCTGCTTTGAGACTCCGACAGGACAGCAAGAGCGCCCCTAACACTCCATCTGCCAAGCGCAATGCGACATTCTCTCCTCGCATCGTTTTCCATGATACTTGGCCCAGCCAGGAGTATGATCGTCGTGGTGAAATCGCCACCTGTAACCGATTGACTCCTATGCTGGCACAGCAGATCAAGGAGGAGCTCAACACCTTCAAGATGGTAAGTATTCGTTTTTTACACGAGATGACATCAATCGCTAACATACCATTCAGGAGATGGAGGTTCACGAAAACTCTAAGATTTACACGCACTTTTTCTGATGATGGCAATGTCCACCACGAGGAGCGAAGCTTGTCAAGCGAAGTATTTTGTTTCCTTTGACCAATACCGAGCATTGAGACTCGGAGTCTTGTATTGCAACCGACCACTTGAACCGCTTTGGGCGTTTGGGACAGCATTGTTAGGTGAATGGCGTTCAATTACTCTAACCAGTCTCTACATGTCATGTGGAATTTAGACCAAAGAGTCATACATTTCTTTAATTTTGCCTTATTCATCTCTCTCTTTCATTTTCATTTTTTTTGGGCTCGAGCAGGAACAGGAACGGAGCGTGATGGAAACCATATTCTGGGACCTTGCAGTAGCGGAATCGGCGTGTTTGCAACCCAGTATAATGACGCGTGGCACTCTGTAAGCAGACGATCACCGTTGGGACCTGGGAACGCCACTTATCCATTATTATTATTAGTCTTTGAGACACGCAAAAAAATCAATGGAGCGGACATAACGAAATAGTACCAATTTGGTCGAAACAACGAAACTTGTTCCTTTTGTGAATGAAACTTCACACTGATGAATAGAGCGAATGTTTTAAGCTGTATTGCGCGTTCCTGTTGATAGTATACTAAGGCTTTAGATTGAATGTCTGATCTACATTCGATATCCGGATGTATATAGGTAATTCAGGAGATCTGTGATTACTTAATTAATAATAGGATTTCAGTGGTACTCGGTGGATCGTGAGATCGTTCTTGGCTCTGCGTGAACAAGTATCCAATCTGGTCAGGTACCTTCAGAGGTACCGTTACAAAAGGAAAAGCTTAAACTTGTCTGGGGAAAGCTTGCAGCCTCAGCCACAGATCCACACTTTATTCTTGAGCCTCACCCACTTGCCGGTATCGAGTGGGGCCGACAGCAACCTCTATCTTTTTTTTTTCCTCCATAACTTCGCGGGGCATATTTCAGTCCTCGACGAAAAGGAATCGCTTTTGCGCCCACATCACGCTCTACAATCTGGAGAAGTTCGCTCGTCTGACTTGGCTCCGGAAGAGTCCGGGGCCCTTGTTTATATCTATCTCGAACCGTCGATCTTTGTGTTTCGTACAGCGCATGTCGACAATGACGTCCAAGGAGAACAGCCCCGCGGTAGACCGTCCAGCCAAGCTGGAGGGCCGGGCATTCTACGAGAGCATCGGCAGTCCCAAGTTCATTGTTGCGCCCATGGTGGACCAGTCTGAATTCGTATGTTACTCTTTAACTTGTAGTAGCAATTTATATTGATGTTTCGTAGGCCTGGCGCATGCTCACCAGAAGTTTCATTTCACCCACCGAACAAAAAAGCCTTCTCGCATATACGCCGATGCTTCACGCCCGCCTCTATTCGCAAGACGAGAAATATCGAAAGGCGCACTTCCAGGCTGTTAAATCTGATGGTGAAACTCCCTGGCTTGACGGAAACCCTTCCATCGATCGCCCGCTCTTCGTCCAATTCTGCGCAAACGATCCCGATGCGCTGCTCTCTGCTGCTCAGCAAGTCGCACCTTACTGCGATGCCGTCGATCTGAACCTCGGATGTCCTCAAGGTATTGCGCGAAAGGGCAAATACGGCGCTTTCCTTCAGGAGGATCAAGATCTTATCTTTCGCTTGATCAACATCTTGCATAAGGAGTTGCCTGTGCCTGTCACAGCCAAGATTCGAATTCTGGATACCAAGGAGGAGACTCTGGCATATGCGCAAAATGTCCTCAAGGCTGGCGCATCTATTCTCACTGTCCACGGACGAAAAAGAGAGCAGAAGGGTCATCTGACAGGCTTGGCTGAGTGGCAGATGATTCGTTTTCTGAGGGACAGCCTACCCAAGGAAACAGTCATCTTTGCGAATGGAAACATTCTTCAAGAGGGGGATATTGAGAAATGTCTCGAGGCTACAGGGGCCGACGGCGTGATGAGCGCCGAGGGCAACCTTAGCGACCCGGCTATCTTCACAAAACCACCACCTGTTGGTGAAGAGGGAAGAGAATACTGGCGAGGCAAGGATGGAAAGGGAGGCTACAGAGTCGACGCCGTTTTCAGACGGTACATGGATATTCTCCATGAGCATGTCTTTGGGAACAAGCCCCCTGAGCGACGACCACTATTCATGCCTGGCGACGATACAGAGTGGATGAAAGAAAGTGAGACTGTCGAAGAAGAGCCACCATCCAAGAAGCGAAGAAAAGACCTGGGCAAGAAGGGAGAACAAGGCCCGAATCTGGGGGCCATGCAGCCTCATCTCTTCCACCTTCTACGGCACTTTGTTTCCAAGCACACTGATGTCCGAGATATGCTGGGTAAGAGCCGCGCAGGTGATATAGAAGCCTACGAACGTGTTCTCTCCGCAGTGGAGCGTAGAGTTGCAGAGGAGCTCCTCGAGTACGAGCGCACAAACGGTGAGAGCGTTGCGGAAACACCGCTGGCTGAAGAAGAAGAAGATCCTCCAGAGACAGAGAGCTCAAAAGGCACAAAAAGACGCTGCAGGAGACCAGTTTGGGTCGTACAGCCAATCATCCGCCCACTGCCCAACGAGGCACTCAAGAAGGGGGCCTTGACTATGAGCAAGAAGGATAAGGCCAAATCGCAGGAGAAGAAGCAAGAGGAGCAACAGGAAGAACAGGGCAAGAAGGAAGATTTAAAAGCAAGGGATGAAGGCGTTGCTGGATAGAGTATGCAAGTCCAAGGATAATGATTGAATACCAATACAATATAGATGGCGTATAAGGCTGGATGGGGTTCAAAAGACACATGTAGTTTTCACAATATCATTAGCAGCTTCATGAACCTATACCAAACACTATGTATCTTTGTCGTGCTGGTCTTAGTTTCGCAGAAGGCATATCTTCTGTTACTGATCCAGAACACCGCGTAAAGGTGCCAGCACATCGTCCTGGTGCCTCCACTGGGCTATCAAATAACCTCAGCTTCACAGGCATCTTCATCTCATAGAAAAGAAGAAAGAGGAAAAAAAGGTACAAGTCGAATGGCTTTCGCCAAGAAAGAGAGAAAAGTAGTGGTTAAAAGCTCTCGCTAAAAGAAAAAGAGCGAGGAAGAAGAAGAAGAAGAAGAAGAAGAAGAAGAAGAAGAAGTGGCAATGCCAGCTGCTGAGATGGTGACTGAAAAAATGCGACGAAATAGGGGGGTTATAAATAATCCCAACTTGTCTGATTACAGCTCAGACCCTCTGAGCCTCTCTCCATAGTACTTGTAGTCGATCTCGCGAAGTAGCATAACCAGTAGCCCGCCACGATTGTAGATATGCTGTTTGTTGGCAATTTTTCCTGTGTCTCTGGTGTAATCGCTCAACTCCTCCAAGGTTTCGAAACGTTGTACAGGCATGTCGAACTCTACAGCGTACACTAGATCAACAATATTGACACGGACGGGTCGCATGATCTAGATAATTGTTAGATAATTGTAGCAAACACGCAGTGCAAAAGAGATCGATCGTACCGTGTACGCTTCCTCCAGGGAGGTTGGTGCGTCTATGCCAATGATCTTGCATAACTTTTGCCAGAGAGACAAGTCATATTCGTCATTCCCATAGACGTAATAGAACTCTTCAACAACAGCCTTCGAGAAGAGCTTTCTGGCATTGTAGAGGCTTTTCTCTTTGCGTTTCAGCTGGTCTTCCATGCGTGTAAACTCCTCAACAAAAGGCTTAGTGTTACGGTAGTCAAAAGACGGGAAGCCCTCGAAGAATATATCCATGAGAGGACGCGTGTAGACATTCAGGCGCTTGCAGTTGAAGCTGTATTTGCAACGTCCAGTATCGCGAAACTGGAAGCACACCTGCTCGATCCGACCCCTTGTCCAGCGGCTTTTGCCACTTTTTACGACAAGGTCAAGCTGAGTATGGGCTTTCGCCCTTGTCTCCTGGGTGATCGAGTTGGCGGCTGAACATCTGTCAGTATTGATTGGTGATAGGAAGTCGGTAACACGAGCATGTGCAATACTGACAAGGCGAAGGGGGTGAGAGGGAAACGGCGTTAGCCTATAAAGCAGAATCTTCTCCCACCACTTGGCCGGTGGGAGAAGATCCTGCTTCTGCTGGAGCAGAAAGAAAGTCATTTTTGAACTATAATGTGCATGTCAGTACAAGAAGCATATTGTAACATGTTATCTTGGGAAAATTACCTGGAGGAACCGCTCAAGCTGTGTTTTGATTCGGGCTTTAGACTCGAGGTTTTTGTCATCAAAAGACAAGTTGGCGATAAGCCCTTGGACTGAACCTTGCGAAGATCCAGCCATCTTGACGATTTTGTTGTGATTTGGTGAAGTAGATGTTGCTTTGGAGATGTGTTGGTGAGAAGATAGGAAGAGAAAAAGAAAAGAAAAGAAGAGGAGAAGGATGGAAGGGGTGATGGAAGGAACTGGTGCCTAGAATGTTCGGCAGCGTACACAACCTCGGGCAAGACTGGCACTTCCTGACACTGCCAGGCAAGTGATGGCCCTTAGGTTAAATTTAACTCATAAGGTATTAGGTATCAAAGAACTTACGTCGAGAACATATGAGACAAAACCGCTTTAGTTGAATCTGAGCCCTTTGGTTTTGCTGCTTTATGCTCCGATGGGATTGGATCTCAAGGTTGAATGTGTATGTTTCTTGTTCACATTGTAGGATTTATCTCTACCTAGGTAATACATGAAGAATGACCAGCTGATACCAATCTAACAAGAGGTTCTCTAGAGACGATGTACTTTCTCATTCCTGTAGTGTTTCTTCGTAGTCCTGAAAAGGGGTGATATACCCGTAGACGCCGCTCACTTGGTCGACTCTGACTCCTCATCCTTGGTTGAGTTATCCTTTTCAGATTCTTTCTTCTTGTCGTCGTTCTGATCGTCTTCGTCAGCATCGTCTTCTCCGTCGTCTTGACCACGGAACCAAGTAACAAGACCTCCAGCTCCAACAACCGCCTCAGCAGCTTGAACAACTCCATGGACAGCGGCAACTCCATAGCCTCCAGCACCAACAGACTGCAGAGTAGCGAAGAGGCTACCAGCGGCAACGCTACCGATGCCGCTCTGGATTCCCGCAGCGGCAGTACCTAGCTAGAGGGGTTAGCGATGCATCACAAATATAAGCGACATCTGAGACTGACCTGCGGGAACACCAGCAGCCCCAAAGCCCAAGAAGCCAAGCACAGGACTAGCGATAATGGCGGGAACCAAAACAACCGCAGCTCCAGTGACCATAGCGGCCACAGCACCTGGGTTAGACTGAGAAGGCATTTTGTGAAGTCGAGAAGTGTGTGCCTGAAGAAAGGTCCGTCAATACTCCCCTGTTGCAGCCTAGGTAAGACTCACAAGGACAGAAATATGAAAATCCGGATGTATTAAAGATAACTTGCCTTCAAAGACCGACCGATCGATCTATGCAGTGATGCAATAGAGAAAGAGAGGTGGAAGACGAAGGTTTTTGGGAGGCCGACCAGATCCATGATGGTATCAAAGCAGCAGCTGGCGAGCACTGACACTGTCACTGTCACTTGGGAATCTAACAAGATGGCTACAGGTTTGCAATACGTCACATACACGCAAATAATGGAAGTATTTGTTTTGCAGGATTGTGCATAAGATGTTGTCAACACTTAAATATCATTCGCATTCACTGGGGGTCAAACAGCAACAAAAATTATACCGCCTTTTACGTCAAGACAATCAGTAGAATATTATATACCATCAAGGACAAGTCGTATTGCTCGCTCCATTAGCAAGCCAGACCAATATTCTAGCCAGAGGGTATCCTTTGTCCAGGTACCCAACAGCTGTTTCAATTACTTCAACTCCGTAGCCCCCCATCTGTGCACTCTGGACAATGGTAAATACGCCGCGGGCTGGAACGTTCCCGTATAGAGATTGGATCCAAGCTGCGATAGTCTCTGAGAGACATTAACAAATGGACGGCTTTTATAGCAAAGAAACATGGACAGACCTGCTTGAGGACCAATGGATGTCCAGCCAGACTGGGTGAAGATAGGGCCGAGATACTCCATTTGAGCAGGTTCAACGACGTACAAACTAGATTATTATGTTTTACTTCGATATTTTTATAAGAAGAGTGTTTTGAAGGGAGGTATCAGAGAAAGTGGTTTGAATTTATACATCCAAACTCCATCTATGACACAGTTACGATCAAAGAAGACAATCCAGATTCATGTTGCCCAATTTTTGAGCTAGCCCAAAGACAATTGAACTGAAGGAGTACAACTTCAACACGATTGGCTATAGTGTGAATATAGTCCTGCTTAGACAAACCTTCAAGGCCGACACTACGATGTATCATGGAGTCAAGGCCTTGATCGAGATCACCAAAAGTTTACTACGTAATACAAAAGGTAATCGATAATTGACTGATGATAGTTGTCATTCAGGCCTCATCGAAACGTAGTAGGTAGTTATAAAAGTGTATAGGCCCTGGAAGAATTTGAAGTATCTGGATAGGCATCTAACCAGAGTAACACGCCAACTTCACAACTGTCAATAAACTTACCGTTCAAATAAATACATACAAACATAGCTGTTTCTCTTCAAAGTGTTGGAAGTTTCTAATGCAGACAATGTTACCCCTCCAATACAAATCTACCTATATATGCAATCAGCCTATGGCCGCTTTGATGTTGGCCTAACTCCCGCAAGGCTTTTTCCATCCATTCACCTCCCTCTGAATCACAGTATTGTTGGAAGAATAGGCGCCCGTTGGAGGCCTTACATTCACTGCCATCCTATAACCCTATATCTATGCAGGCCATCTTTTCGTCTCCCACCATCACCATCACCCTCAACACTCACATACTGACCATCGTCGACATATTGAACCTCAACTTCTGTACATCAAAATCCACAGCAGGATAAACTCTCGAGTAACCATGCTTGCATCCGCAAAGTCGTTTTTGTCCAATGTAGGTTGCGCCCAAATACCAGTTATCAAGTATCACCTACTCACAAGAGAATCAGGCTGCGAACAGCACTTTCGAGTACGCGAAAGAAAAACCACTAGCTGCAACAGCCTTTGGAACTGCTGGCATCATGGTAGCTGCTCCAGCCGTAGTCGTCGCTCCTGCTCTTGCAGCTGCTGGATTTGGTGCGAATGGAATAGCTGCAGGTCAGTATACTCTACTCCTATTACCATAATCTAGTTAGGTACTGATGGAATATGAGGTTCTGCTGCTGCTGCTGCCCACGCAGGAATCGGCAACGTCGTAGCCCATAGCGGTTTTGCAGTTCTTCAAAGCTATGGAATGGCTGGATACGGAGTACCTCTTGTCCATGGAGTTGTTCAAGCAGCTGGCGCAGCGATTGGTGTTGGGTCTGCTATCTCTGAAGCGAAAGCGGATGACAAGCGTGAAGAGAAGAAGTCTTTCCTTGGACGATGGCTGTAATCCGAGACACAGAGATGTGTTGCAGGAAACTGAGAAGTTCCGACGACGAGGAGATCGCAAGTGCATCCTAGGAGAATTGACAGAGCCAGGGCATCATGTTGCGCCTATCGTAAGATATCCTAAGATGTGATAAGGTGTCCTAATATATCCTTAGATGACCTAAGATAGCATAAGATATCCTAGCATGTCCTAATAAAATACTAAACTTCACTAAACCTTGCCTAAGTGCCAAGTGATGACTGACTTCAAGAATTACAACCTGTGCCTCAAACGCTTTCAATTTTTGGTCGGTCCCGCTGATGAAACACTTTCTCAAGCCGGCGCACCTAATTACAAAGTAACCCCCTATTCTTCATTATAATCTTACTCGACTCATCAACTTCCCGTCCCCCGTTCCCCTTTCCTTTTCTTTCATCTCCTTTCGTTTCCTCCTTTCCTTTCCTTACTTCCTCTCAACTGCCCCGTCGTCCTCGCTTCATTGGCGGTGACCGAGAGACACTATCGCTATTGCGTCTCCTCTTAGACGGCACAGGGCTCAACGACTTCTTTCCTCCGCGGCGTGGCGGGCTGGGTGATCGCGAGTACGAGGGCTGACGTCCGTTACGTGCGGGTGGAGGCGAAACGCTCTCGGGGTTGGCCCTTCTTGGTGGTGGAGATCGTGAATCGTATGAAGGCGAACGACTATACTGCTTGCTCTTATGTCGTGGTCCGTCGCTGACAGACGAGCTGTTGCGCCTGCCTGAGGCAGGACCGGCATTTCCGCGCGGTCGACCTCGAGGGCTTCCAGAGTATGATCTCTCTCGCTTTCTCACAGGAGAGGGAGATCGACTCTGGGAATCATACGAACGGCTTCGTCCATCTCTGGCCGGAGGGGGCGAACGCCCTTCTGAAGCATGTGAATCCTTTCGACCACGTGCTTGTCGTGGTGGTGTACGAGAACGGCTTCGGGAAGAGTAAGAAGCGCTGCGAGCTCGGCCCTTGCCATTACGAGGGGCTGGAGATCGCGAGCGGCTGTCGTTAATGTATCGCCGACCTCGTCGGGGAGGGCTGGCGGAATATGACTGGCTGCGACCTCTTCCCCGTGCAGACACAGATCGTGAGTATGACCTCGACCTCGATGAGCTGTATGAACGTCCCCTGCTCCTTCGATCAGGGGAACGGGAAAGTGATCGTCCTCGATCAGCGACCTTACGAGGTGTTCGAGAGCGGGACCGAGATCGGGAGTAGGAAGAGCCTGTGTAGGACGAATAGCTGGAGACGGAATCCGAATCCGAATCCTCTGCGGCTGCAGGGGCAGGCAAAGCAGGTTTGGGCATGTTCTGAAGGTGTGTTCGCATCTCTTCTGTGAGAGCACCCATGCCGATACTTGTAAAGTAGTTGATAGAGAATCTGATGTTGCGGGGGCTGTCTTTGGGGAAGAGACCTTCCAGGTTGGGTCGGAGTGTCTCGTCTGTCATACGTGCCCTCAGCTTGGGCATGCCGATCTCCTCCGAGATGAACTGGAACAGAATCTTGATAAAGATACGGCTACTGGATGTGGTTTCGTCCTCATTCAAATGAATGACAGATAAACAATGCCAACCCAGAGCGTCTGAGGCAAACATGTGACCGAACAGCATGGCAATATTGCGCAGTTTGTTGTTCTCATAACGGTGGATGGTTTCGTAATACTTGGCGAAAGCCTGCTCAAAGAGGTCGCACCAAAGTCGATTGATTTTAGCGAAGCGCTCGCCAATCATGCCGAAGAACTTTGTATATGTCTTTTCTTGCGAACAACACTCGACAATCATAGAGGGAAGTTCGGGCTCCTGGCCGGCAGGAAGGTTGATCTTCATCAGCTTGTGGACAGCTTCTTCAGGGTCGGCACTGGACATAATGGTGAGGTAGATGGTCCTGCGGAGGTTGACCAAGTCGGCATTGGACTGGTCCTTGATCTCCATAGCCTTTTGCTTCTCATCTTCCTCGTCTTCATCTGAAGAGCTCTCGTATTCGTCCTCGTCGCCATCTTCGTCGTCGCTGCCCTCACCCAGAATCTCAGCCCGAAGCTTCTTGTACGCCTCTTCGTGCTCCTCCCACTCCGGATCGAATTTGAAAATATTGAGCCCATCTTGCGCATCAATTTCGCCTTCTAGCTCGAGTCGGTGCGTGATTTGGTCCTCCTCTTCAACCAAATCCAACTCTTCCTTTATAGCCGGGTTATCCTTAAACTTGTCCTTTCGCACCTGGAACAAGACCTCGATCATATACTGCGTTCGCTTATCGATATCGGCTTCGTGCAGAATGTTTCGGAATTGATCAAAGATTACATTCGCGATCGAGCTTTGCATCTCCTCCATGTGTTGTCCAACTTCACGGCAGAAACCGACCGCGATCTCAACACTGTCATCTGTAGGCTTGTGGAGCAAGAGGAGTAGGATCTGACCTGCAAGCATTTCGTGCTGGACCTGCTGGTTGATGAGATGCGCGAGGAAAGTAGTCGACGAGAGGCAAACTGCCTTATCATTTCGCTTGAATCCCTTTCTGAACTGAAGAACCAGACGGCGGATAAGAAGCTCTCCAACTTGAGGTAGCTTGGTGTTGACAATCGCGGCCATGGCGGCATATATGGGTGTGAAAGGCAAACTGGCAGCTTGAGCCTTCATAATCGATCGACAAAACAAACCACGACCACGAACCAAGTTCTCTCCAAACAGCTCGGGCACGATGAACTTGATGTTTGCTGTGTTGACCTTATTGATAAGACCGTTGATACTCTTCTTTAGCGCCTCCCATGCCATGCGCTGATACTCCTTGCTTGTCTTGTCTGTGATTTGTGCCTGGAGCGCGCGCAGTCTCGCGGGTGGGATGTACGTTCCGCCGGATCGCATTGTCAGGAGCTTCTCATACTCGGCCTTTGCAGCAGCCTGCTTCTCCTCCTCTGTTCGAACAGGGGCAGCATCGCGCGGTCGTGATCGCGATCGCGATCGCTGTGTCTTTCCTGGACGATACGAGTCGCCATCGGCGGGCTTGTCGCTGCGGTCGCGGTTGCGACGGGGCAGGTCCACGTCAGCGGAGGCCATCGTAAGCTTGTACTCGCAGTCGCAGTCGCAGCTGATCCTTCGTTCGGCGACTATCTTGGCTTTTTGGACGTCTTCGTTTTTCTCAGATGGTTATGATGTGAAAACGCGCCTACCTACCTAGGCAGGAAACACAACTTATTTTGAGACTGGAGATGACCCACTTATATATTCCAAGGTACAGCACAGGCTGTACGCCTGCTGTAGTAAAGTCTAAAGCTCAGGCCGCCAAAAATAAGTACCCTAAGAGATGGCTTAAAATTATCTAAAGTTACCAGATGATTTCGTCTACCTACTAACTTTGATGACTTCCATGACATGTAGAGCCTCGTTGACTTCTTAAACCTGCTCAGTGTGATCCAACTGGAATACTCAATACTATGCTTTTGGCTATTGTCTTGCAAACATTCATCCCAAAAGGATGTTGCAACCGCTGATACACTAATAGATGAAATAATCTAAACACTTCATACCGGACTTGACAAGTTTTTAGACTATCTTATTTTGGCGTCCTTGGTCCTGGAGACTACCTACGTAGAGATGTGGCTGTGCTGTGGCGTCTGCTCCACTCACCCCGAGACAACCTACCTAGCTATAGGTCATTAGGAGCAAACCGCGTTCATTGTAAATTTGGCCTTTAGCAGGTACCTATTAACACTACCTACCATTTCGACGAACTCTCCAACACTCCTTTACTTTTACTTCTCTGCTTCACCCTTCTCTTCGGCTCAACCAAGGTCTATGCTCGCTCACCTTGCGCATCTTTAACAATGGTCAGTAAATACCACGCCCTCTCCGAAGCTCTGATCTACATGCTTGTCCCCCTTTACGCGCTTCACACTGGGGCATCACAGGAACCCCTCGCTATCCTAACTTTACTAACATAATTCTTTTGCTACAGTTGGACAAAATCGTCGGTCTCGCCATGCTCGTGGCCGCTTCAGTCGTCTTCACTTACTACACCATCTGGACTCTTCTTATGGTGAGTGCCCCTCCATGACTCCCTCGACGTCGATGCGATCATACGCCAGCATTACCTGCCCCCGGCGTCCATCTTCTTGAATACGTTGTGAGCTAACAATTGCTTCAGCCCTTTGTCGACGACGACCACCCTCTCCAGAACTTCTTCCCTCCTCGCGTTTGGGCCATTCGTATCCCTGTCATCATCATCCTCCTCGGTTCCGCTGTCGTTGGATCGTTCCTTGGCATGGTCATGATTCGGAGCAACCAGAAGAAGGCTGCGAAGGCCAAGGCGGCTGCTAAGAAGGCCAACTAGATGACCAACATGTCGATCCATACACCTTTTAATTGTTCAGTGGCATCTGAAATCACTTAACCGCATCACGGGACATTTATCACCTGAACCTTGGATACCATGGGACAATGCCTTGATGCGGAAGAAGCAAAAGAGCAGTACGGGGATGGGTATCTAATGTGTTTCTATTTATTTAATAAGGCATTATGAATTGCCAAAAAAGATTTCTGTGCTAAAGAGGGTTTCTTCCATGAAGCAAAGTGCATACATGTCAAGAATCAATAACTCCAACATTCCGGACCCAATGATTTGATCAAAAGCAGCCATTCATACCAAGCCAGGTTTGGTGCGACGTAGCTGCGTGTTCAAATAGCTTAAGCAATGGATTGTTGTTCCCTAGCATCAAATGCATAGAATGAAGTAAAGCCCAAAAATCCATACGCCACACAATGCCCGTTGCCCATATTGCCTCTTGAGAGCAGACTTATTTCACTTACACCCTCTGATCTGCAAAATCAAGAACTTCACAGTCATCCTCGAAGAAACCATCTTCACCTTGACTGCCTCCTTGGGCTCCACGGCGTCTTCTTGTCGTCACCACAATCTGCGCCTCGTCACCGTATTGCATCACCCGCTCCATGGCAGAGGGGGGCAAAGCAATATGGTCCTCAGGCCCATCATACTCCTCCTCGGTGACAGTCGGCAGGCCCAAGTCCAGTCGAACCACTGGGATATCCTGGCCAAACGCCCAAGCCGTTGTGCTCGACATTTCTCTAGATGAGTATGTTTCCATGGGTTGCCCCTTCTTTTTCTTTTTCTTCGATGCTGTGTTTTCTTCTAAGTTGGTGTCGGCCAGGATAGCAGAGACAACTTCGAGCTGATCGGTCGTGCCTCTTCGGTACTCACAAAGAGTCACCCGCCTGTCTGTGTGGAAGGGCTGGTAGGGTGCACTGGATTCTATCTCGGCCTGTGGGATCGACGATTCCATATTATGGTCTGCCGATGCCACACGAGGTCGTGCATTGAGTGTCAAGGTGTTTCCTGCGTCCATCTCACGGTCTGAAAGGTCCAGAATCTCATCCTGGGCACCCAAGTCCACCATCTGTCGTACAGCTGGGGCAACCAGATCGCTGGGTAGGTTCGGCACGTTATGATCATGATACCTGCTGGCTCGTGTCACCTTCCTGCCAGCCTGTACGCTAGATCGGCGTGTTCTGCAGGAGAACGACCGTACCAAGCCGTTTCCAACCACAAAGAGCCCTTGATGTCTCCGGCTTCTAACCCAAGTGACACACGATGCTGAAGGAGGACCTGAACTGAGCGGTAAGGAAACACGGTTCTCGCCTGTGTGCCGAAGCTGGTTAATTGCGGTCCCTGTCTTGCCTAGCGAACTACTGATACTAGCAGCAATCACTCGTCCTCCAATGGCCGCCGAGTCTTTCAAGCTGTTGCCGGGCATGTTTGGTACATTGCCGCTGCTGCGGCGGGGCCGTGATACAAATGGTTTCGCAACTGAATATGCAGCACCAAAAGCGCCAGTTGCGAAAGAGACGGCAGTGTTTGGCTGTTCTGGCGTCGCGGTGCCACTCTCTTGGACAGCTTGACGACGGCGGGGTGCAGGCCACATGAACGCACTCGAAGGCATGTCGAGAAGATGAACGGTGCCACGCTCAGTTACCATAGCCAATCGTTCACCCTGTGACTGCGTCCAAGCAACATCGACAATGCGTGCAACTGTCATCCGTGAGAACTGTGCAATTTGTCTAACTTGAGGACCTGTGCTCGTGTTGGGGCTAAGTGTAGCCTGAAGAGGGGATGACCTGGTATGTTGAATACGGAAGAGGTCCCAGACTGTCTGCACATCACCCTTACTGCTGGCTGTAAACAAAGCCAGGGACGATGGAGAGAATGAGAGGAAGCTACAGCCCAGAGGCGGTGCGAATGTTGTGATCGGGTGGATCGAGGACGAAGCTGGGAGCGACTCCGTGTCAATGATAGAGACAAGGCCTGGATCCTTTGCCACAGTCTGGCCGTTTGTTCCATGGGTAGGAGGAAATTGAGACGAGTCACCGCGGGGTGATCGAGTACCCGCCCAACCCTGGGGAGGTGAACGTGCTTGTTGTGTTTGTGACTGTGGGCTAGACTTATTCCAATAGGAATTCCAGGCTTGCAAGCCTTGTTGCCCGACCCATCTGGCACCCTGAATGAGCTCTTGGGTCGTTTCGCGCATAATCTTATTCACAACACTGTCGGAAATGGGGAGATCTACCGAGGCAGAAGACGATGGCAGCTGTGGTGGCGTCACAGTGGCAAGTCCAGGTGCCTTGCCCAGAATCGGGAGTGGCACATGGGCTTTGAGAGAAATCTGAGATGACGGAGTCGCGGGGCAGTAGGATATCCATCGTCCACTGATTGCTAGAATAGGTGTTTGCGGATTCGAGCGTGGGGGTGCAGTCGAAACTCGTGTCTTGTCCGTCTCTTCCTGTACCTCACCTCGAGTGCTTTGCTGAAGGCTGGTCCAAATTTTGCCGACACATGTAAATACATGGCCATTTTGTTCTTCTAGCAGCTGCAAGTAAACCCAGCATTCGCCCGTTTCGCCTGAGCATACCGCAAGCGTACCAGAATCTGCTCGAATTGTAAAGGAGCCGCTGGGTGCAGGTGGTCGGAAAATGGGGTTTGTGACGGAGATCTCAGGGTTTATTTGTATCTTTGGTGCCTGAAGTAACACGTCGATGAGTTGGTTCGTCTTCAACGAGTAGATCTCGACAGAAGTCTGGTAGGCATCGATACTGTGTCTCCCCTGGAAGCCTTCTGGGTGGGTAAAGACTGAGCGAGGACTTGCTGCTCTATCAGGTCTGGGACTCTGTTCACCCTGTGCAGAACCAGGTGTGCCAGTAGGCAAAACGGGTCCATGCAATACTACCGCCACGAGAGGAAAGAGTGACTTGTTGCTATTGTCAAGTGTCCAGGGAAGAATCTTGGCGTTATAGACACCTCCGCGTAGTCCCTTCAAGCTTGCAACGGGTTCGAGACCTCTCTTACCAACAGCATATACGTCCAAACCACCCTCGTAACCGGCTATGACGGCGTTACTTGGACTACTTGGGAAGTCAGGGCACTCGGGCAGTTTGTCGAAACCAAAGAAATAACCACGCTCTCCAGCTTTCATGCCAGAGCCATTTGTCAAGTTCAAGTCAATATCCGGGGTTCCATAGAAATGCGCTTGGGGTTGATGAGGGAGTGGCGGGTTATTCCCAATTCTTGAACCAGCGAAGGGAGATGCAACTGAGCTGCGGCGATAGTGAGCAGCCAGAGGTGGAGTTTCTGGAGATTGATACTGAGCATCCATTTGGAAACTCAGGGGACGACGGCCGTGGTTTGGCGGGGATAGAGATGAGGGCGACGGACTCATGTAAGGGCGTTGGACAGCCCATCCATGATGCAGTCGACCCGAGTCCTCGTAGGAAGAAGGTTGAGTAGGAGGTGAGTCACCCATGATGCTGATCAAATTTCCCGGGGAGCCGGCAATACCGCTTCGCATCCAGTCGTTATTCATACTCGGCGCTGTGCTCACGGAAGCTGGAGTTGTGGACAATGCAGCAAGCATGGGGGAGACGGCAGGGTTGACATTGTCAGGAATGGAAGCAGGCTTGATCTCTGGTGTATCGACCGGGGGCGTGGAAGCGACCGAAGTAGACGAGCTCTTGCTTTCTCCACCGTTATTATTGTTGATGTTGGTGTTGTCTTTATTGTTTACGTTTGGGTTTGGGTTTGCGTTGGCATTGTTAACGCTGCTATGAATGTGACTGCGGGTCAGCCAGGTACTTAAAGTGGTGATGGACGAGTCTCGTGGACAAGAGGGGACTCACGCGAACTTTCCAGCTGTTTGCTTTGTCACGGCCGCGGCAATGCCGCCACTTTCTCTAGCATGTTTTCTGTCCTTCTTGGAGGCTAGAGAAAGAGTCATTGTCAGCCTTTCAGATTGTTATGGCAAAGGGAAGCGCGCGTTGCGCAAATGGTTTTGGGGGAAGAAGGACGATCTAATGGAGTAGAGGGGTAAAGCAGGTACTATAGGTAGTACCTACCTACTCTATGGTAGGTGCATGTAGGGGCGGACGGGGATATCTTGGAGGTAAAGAGGTACAAACTTACAAGGCATTCAACTGATTTGAACAAGTGTCGGAGCAGTCTCCTACCCCAAAAACGCTCGCGTTTCTGCAGAGCGTAGTTGCCAGCAAAGAGGCGAGGCGTCAAGCCGATTTCCCTCGAGGTGACGCCGGCACTTGTTTATTAAGGTTCGCAGCTTGTGTCAAAGTCGCGTACCTCGTACCCCTTGTACAGCTGTACAGTCTCGAATGAAATGACGGCAGAGGGGGACGACTCGAAAGGGAGATTAGTAGTAGCAACTGTGGTACTACTATCGAATAAACTGGGAGGCAACCCAGTATTGGTCAAGTTGAGTGATTATCGAGAAAGAACGGCGAGATGCTCGAGATTGTTGAGTGGATAGCGGCGCAGACCAGCTGTGCGGTAAGTCTAAAGTTGTATGTATGTATGTATGTATATGAGAGTAGTATGTAACAAGATAGATCGAAGAGAGACAGAACGGGATGATGATGAAACAAAGATCGTTATAGAGTTGGAAAGTCAAGGAAATTCGTCATGCGCTTATTTGATGCTTGTATCGTGTAGTCATTCACTGAAGAGTTGTAAGTGAAAGAAGAGAATCAATCGTTGAGATGGAGCTCAAAGGAAGGAGAAGGTAGTCATGTCGGATAGAGTCACGCCGGGATATCTGGTGTAGCAGGCCAGGATTAGCAGCTACATCCCGTCACTGACGCCTTGAGAGGGGGACGCTAAACAATGGGGTGTGTAAGGGACAGGCACACTCGACATTGGAGAAAGGAGTAGTGACAGAATAGCTGTCGCTGACTTGAGGGGAGTCACTGTAGTTGTATTTTCTGACCTTACAGGCCACATGCACACTGAGCCCCGAGGATGTTCTAGCGCGGGATGGGGCATTCTAATGGGGGCTGGTCTGGGCTGGTGATAAGGAGCTACGCTATTGAACCCCTCATGCGATAAGACACCCCGGCTGGGCTTCAAGACTCGATGCCCTCTGTCGCTGTCATTGTGGTACTGTACCGTAGGCAACTTATTAGGTGATCAAAATGGCGGCGGATCGACATGCCTTGGTCCCTGTCACATTTCTAGCTCATCCGGGAAGTAAAAGTGTTTATTTCGTTACCGTACCGGGTGAATGGCTACCAGGGCATGATTGACACGACACAGTTGATATCCATTAGTCTAATAAACGCGCAAGCTCTTTCTTTGATCATGGAACAAGCTGGTTCCATTCCGTCTCGGACGCGGGGTTGCATACAGTACAGGTTCCTGCGCTGACCAGGACTAAAGCAAGGACCAGAGCAAGGTTCCGAGAAAGGGAATGGGAATGAAGAAGAAGGTGTCCTGTATCGAATGAGATCAAATCCGGAACTCAAAACATCCATACTACCCATCCCAGACCAGATTAACCAAGTTGTTATCGATACGTTGTCATCCCCCATTCGCTACCTATCATAGCAGGTTTGTCCATGACCTCGGGTACTTTGAAAGAGACTGATGACGACTGATCTCACCTCTGGATCTGGATCGCTACATAGCAATCATCATGCCTTGGGTGCTGACTGTATTGCCGGTTGTTCCCTGGTTCCTGTTCCTGTTCCTGCTCCTGTTCCAGTCATCGTTCACTCATTCTCATTCATCCGGTCAACACCCAAGCCACATGATTCTCTCACCTGACCGTGCCATCTACGCCATCACCATGTGGCCGTGCCAAGCGTGCCTATCCTCTTATCACCAGGGGACGGGCACGTTGATTATCCAGATTTAGCACTGGAGATCGTGGGAAAGTAAGGGACGGTGAACCTTGATTACTTCCTTTAGCCAAGATAGGTAGCCAATTTCAGGCAGAGCAACAGCCCGTGGCCTGGGTTAATGCGCACAGCGAGATGAGTGAGTTGACCGCATCCACTGGGGGTGTGTTGATATTAGTTAGACCCGACTCATCCCCCTGCGATAACTCTCCATTTATCGGCGTGCTCAATCCATTCGATAACGATAACGGCATCCTTCGGCATTCGTCCCCCCGCAAAATTCCATCCTCTCCCACGGGCCTGCAATGACGTATCGGGTTGGATAGAATTGTCTCCAATTGATTTGCTTTTGCTATTCATCAACGTAACTAATAAAGGCTATGCACAAATTCACTTTTGTTCGTTTTGGCCGGTCGCATCTTTCTTTTACAGAAGATGCCCGTCAGTCTGTAGCCAAACACGGTACTCCTTGAACTTCCAGGCTCCGTCAACCTTCTTGACAACAGCGTGCGCTGACCAGGCAGCTTCTTTGAGTCGCCCATCGTTGGTAGTCACGCTGACCTCGCCTAGAAGCATCACCTCGCTGTCTTCCGAGTCAGGGAATCGTCCAGGGAAGACCTTGAGTACTGTGTGCTTTCGATTGTTGATGTGCTTCCACATGCGAGTTCTGAAATCGGTGATTTCTGGACAAACAGATTGTCAGCTTAAGGTTCTCAACAGATTCATGATGCATGCGACTAACCTTTTGTGCCTCGAGCCTTATCAGCTCCAATTTGGATCTTTGCGTCTTCGGTAAAGCTTTGAACCCATCGTTCATTCTCTTCTGCAATATCTGAGATGCGGTAGAATTCAATTGCGAACTTTTGAAGTTCCTTGTCTTCCCATTCGTCCTGTTGGGCGTACTTGGGGATGTAGTTGTCGGGTACGTTCTCAGCCATGATGAAGGTATGGTGCGGTAGTGTTTTCTCGATATTAGTGGAGGGGAAATGAAGATTTTGACGATGGACGAGCGGTCGAGAAGAGAAATTCATTCAAGGGTTCTGATTCTGGTTCTGGTTCTTATGAAGGACAAGAAATCAGCTCTTTCTGAATTCCATGATCGCTAACCTCGGGGAGATATATGGGGAAGGACCCAGCATGATGCAATTGCCTCCATTACAGGTGGATCGCCATGACTAGCCAAAGTTACTTTTACGGAAAGTTACCGTGAAGACTTCTTTCCGATTCTTTCTAGAAGGAAGTGAGGCTGTTTTGTTTCTCTCTTTTATTGAATTAATGAGGCTGGTTGATGAAGAATTCTGGGATAGTTGCCCAGACAAGAATAGAAACCGAGATACTATTTTAGTGGTTACAGGGGTTGACTGCCGACCTGATTAATGCCGTCGCTATTCGCATAGTCCAGTTACTCGGTAGGTATCTGTAGCCGTAGAGGCTCAACCACCACGCGTAACTTTGCGGATCGGCTATATTGAACCATATGCTGATCTATTCTTCCTAGACGACCTCGAATCAGGTTTGTAGATCTTGCCAGTTCGGCGCATGAGTAAATCTCGGGTTGGTAGGAAGCGATATTCTTGACAACGCTAGCACAAGCCAATGTATCCTTGTAAAAGAGAAGACGACCTGCGTATTTTCTCTGGTAGTAGCCGACATTATTTGCAAGAAGCGATATGATGACCTCTCATATTGGGGCTTACGGTTAATTCGCTTTAATGATTCTGGATTAGACAAGATAGACCCTGAGATAGTCGTGATGGTTCCATCTTCTAATGCGATTATATCACTGACAGGGTTTACTGTAAGATAGGGTAGGCGTCTAAGAGAATGACAAACATAACCTTCAACGGTTGCAATGATATATATGAACGAGGAATAATCAAATACAAAGACGTAGGGGTTATTCAAGGGCCGTCTAGTAGTATCATTAACAATCTAGACCTTTACTTTTTGAAGTTATCTTGGGCTTCTCACCTTATGGATATCGAAATGCTGCGAATAAATACCACGTCACACATCACGAGCAAAGGCCCGCACATATCGTGTATGAACACATACACAATGCATCAAGACGATTATAATAGTCCTATGGACTTCTTCTTCAAGTAAAACTAAACAACGTTGACAACTATGTCAGGGGTATCCGAGACTAACAAACAATGCAGATAATATAGCTCATTCTTTCGAGCAACCATCTCCTCCTTATTCATCAACTCGCTTCTTCTCCTCCAAGGGAGCCTCAACGTCAGCCTTGTTACCAGCTTGACCCTCAGGAAGAGCGTTAAGCTCATCTTCGTGGATATCCAAATCCTTGAACTGGAACCAGAAGCAAGTACCAGCAATGACAGCGAGGATGGCGACAACACCGTAGTTCCAGACAAGAAGAGGATCAGCAGCAAGACCAACGAGGGCCTGTCCGAGAGCAGCTGAGAAAGCAGTCATGAAGAGAGCAACGGCCTGGACCATGGAACGCATGTTCTTGGGCGCCTTGGAGAAGGCATACTCGAGAGAAGTGATGGAGGCGAACACTTCGGACAGAGCGATAAGAACGTAGGCACCGGTCTGAGCCCAAACATTGATAGGAGCAGTAGTGCAATCTTCGCCGGATGCATACATGCCACACTCAGACTTCTGGTAGATGTAGTGCTGGACGATAGCAGCCCAGATCATTGCGGCTGCGCCAGTGAAGAAACCGGCAGTAATCTTCTTGATGGGAGTGAAGCGAATACCAGCCTTTCGGAGAGCAGGGTAGATCAGACGATCGTTGAGAGGAATAAAGATCAAGAGAGCAAAAGGGTTCAGGTTGGACAGAATATCGTTAGGGACACCGTGACGCTCCATGAGGGCGGCCTGAGAGATCAGGTTGTTGTTGACTGTCACAAGTGTTAGCTTCTATGGAGACCCTTTTAAGAATAAAGAAGGGGGACTTACTCTGATTGTAGCAAAGCCAGAAGATAGGGTACCAGCAGAATACAGCACAGGCGTTGAATCCACGTCGAAGTTCGTCGACCCAGGCATCGTCGAAAGTCATCCACTTAGGGCGTGTCTCGCTGGTGAACTTAGAGGGCTTGACTGACTCCCAGAAATCACCAGTGTGCATGTTCTTCCAGGTCTGGAAAGGGTTGATACTCCAGCGGCCCTTCTGAGCAAGGAAGAAGGTCTTCATGGCAGGTCCCAAGACGGAACCACCAGGAGCTCGCTGCTCGTAGTTCTTGCGGTTCAACCACATAATGATAGGGCACAGGCAAAGCATAAAGGTTGGGAGGGTGTAAGAGAGCCAGAAACCAACGTACTTCTCAGCGAAGACCATGGTAACCTGACCAACTAAAGCTCCAACGTTGATAGCCCAGTAGAACCACATGTAAACACGCTCGATGGTAACAGCAGGGTCGATGATGACACGCTCGCCAGACTTGAGAGTCTTGACGTGCATGTACTGTTCACCAAGTTGTTCGACGATAAGAGGGTTGACGTTGGGTTTGAAACCACCAGTACCGAAACCAATAACGATGATAGCAATGATCATGGCACCGAGGGCACCGTCGCTTTGGATAACACCGGGAACGGCAGAGACAATGAGAATAATATGACCGATGATGTCGATAACCAGAGCGTAGCTGATGGTCCTGTAACGGCCCCAGTACTGATCGGCGACGTAGGCTCCGAACAGGGGCATCAGGTACTGCCAGAACTGGTTGAATGTGGTGATACCGGTCGAGGCTCGCTGACCCATTCCGAGGGCACCAGGCTGCTCATCGTCGGCACCAGTAACAGAGCCAGGAGGGAGAGGCTGCTGGATGAAGTTGGTGAACACGACGGTACATCCATAGTAGGAGAATCTGAGACAATCAGTATTTACACACAATCAGGAGTATGGAGAATTAAACTGACCGTTCGCAAAGCTCAATGAAAGCAATACTGAAGAGCTTCAAGGGAATCTTGTTGGAAATTCGCCTCAAGCTTGCCATCTCCTCAGGGGTGGGAAACTGTCCATCGGGGGTAACACCACCAGAGACGGTAGCAGGCGCATTGGGGTTGGTGACTACAGAGGATCTCCTCTCAGCAGCCATAGAGGCTCGCTTCTCGTCGATCATCTCAGCATGGAGACCGGCCGCAGCGACGGTCTCGCCCATAGCGTCTCCTGTAGGCGCCATTGTGTAGGATTTGCTGATCTGTACTGGACCGCAAAGGAATGGTAGAAGCTGACACTAAGTAGACAGTCAACAGACAGGATATAACTGCCATGGGGGTAAGGCCCTTTATACATTTTTCAGTCGTCGGGCGAAGCTACCACTTTGGACCTCACGCAGCACAAACTTTCGACCAGGTAACATCCAACGATCGACGCGAAGGCGAGGTCTAGGGCCAAGACGCCAGATCTAACGAGGACATGGTACTAGAGCATGCAAATAGTGCATCCTCTAGGGTCAGGAGGACGTATCTCTGGCGCAAGGATGGGAATGAAAACAGAAGGTCCTGTTAGCTACCTACTGAAAAAGGTCTGATACCAGGAGCCTCAAGACAAGGGTGGATTCCTCCCTCACACTGCCAAGAGCTCTTCATGCAGCTTTGATAGTGAAGACGTTGGGTCTGTGGTACAAACGACTGGGGAGGCGAATGGGAGTTGGGTCGGCTAGTGCAGCTTTACTATTGCAAGCATGGAGACAAGGTGGACTTTTGCAAATATACGGATACTAGTCTCACCTTTACTTGGCAACGGGAAAAAAGTTCTTAGTAGTTTCTTTTAGCATGTTGTGGCTTGCTAATGCTCGGAGATTTTGACATTCGCGCCTGGGCGAGAGGGACAGTGCAGTGTTTTGGACCTGCCAAGTGTATAGGTCTTGCAGCTGAAGTCTTGTGAATTTTTGGCATCGCGATAGTCTCTTTGCAAGCTGTACCAGTACCGCACACTCACCCCAGGGTTCCTCGCCTCAGAGAAGCAGTCGAGGTATCGATGCCTTCAGCTTGGCAAAGCGGACTGTCCTTATCTCAGAAATCCTAGTTAGGACATGACCCCCGACGATGCTACATCAAAAGGCAGCAGTGCCAAGATGCGTTGCATCTGAAGGAGTCAAAGCCCGTCCCTGATTAGCCAGCTCGTTTTGGATCCCGTGATAACAAGCGCGCCAAGATGGTGCTGTGTGCATGGGTGAGGACTAACAGAGGTGCTGGTTCATTACTCCGTACTGCTGGCTCGCTGGTTTAAATCTTGGCGACCGGTCGACGAAGAACTTTTGTAAGTCTGGGCATGATAAAGACGGCAAAGATAAGTTGGGGCGATACATGGCATGGAAGCGTATTGTTTGGGCATTGCACCGTGATTACCTGGGATGAATGGAATGGTAAAGTGATAAGACAGCTAGGACCAATACGAAAATAGGTATACAGATAAGACATGTTGATATTGGATCCTTTATCAGTAGACGCTGGATACATCACAATTCAAGTGTAGAACCAGATTCGTAGCTGACTGAAACTCATTCTTTTCTACCGACATGATATCCCATCTAAGCACGACCTCTTCCTCCTCGATGAAGCTCTTTCTCATCCTTCAAGGTCATAAACAAACATGGTTTTTCCATTCTACACGAGACCACCGACCACCCGCTCTCCCCGCAAAACAGCCACCTTCCCTATTCAGCCTAGCGTCCCCGCGCTAGAATCCTCCTTCGACGCAGCTTAATTTAAGCTTCTTTTAATCGAGCAATGATTCTCATTACACATTCTATTGGGCAGGTAAGACCAACAGACACACTTCCCGCCTGCCAAGTCGTCACTCTTGGCCTCTTCCCTTTTGTAATCTAAGAGACATAGCACCGTCCTTGTGGTTATCAAGGTCTTAATTAACTCGAATTGGAAACTGCGAGACGCATATCCTCGGATGAACATTCCTTCTCCAACCGAGCAATTGCATGATGGCAAACCTGAATCCTTCACTATCACCAAACATAGCCCTTCTCAAAAGAGATATCAGAGAAAGACCACGCGAGCAATTTGCGGGCCTCGGTAACCGGGACCGAATGCAGGGCCTGTCAGTATCTTATGCGTTACCGACAGCTTGGCCGAGTTATCCCAAGACAGAAAACATGCCATGACTATCATTGTCAGGCGTCGGCTCACTTTGAAGATCTGTCGATGATTGCAAGGGTAGCACTGCCCATAAACTCCACTCTATGATCAACCATGATCTCTTACATCGTCCAGGAATGCACTCGTCAATATACCAGACTGCCAATCCGAGTACGTATCGTTCCAGCTAGCAAACCAGTCGCTATGTGCACTCAGAACCATATAATCATTGATTCAAGCGGCTTCTAGACTTGTTGAGCCTGTATATCACTCTTGTTATTGCTGCATCGTTTTCAAAGCCCCTCGCTCATTGTTAAGCAACAGTAGCCTTTTCAAAGGCCTTACAATATCCAATACTTCAGGATTACTTCTCTCTTGGCATTGTTTACTAAGTACTGCTAACACTTAAGTTGGTGGTATTCTCTGTTCTAGTACATGCCTTTCTCGAGTTTACACACGTGGTGCCAACACTCATGGCTATAGAAGTTTTCACAGGACCCATTAAACCCTTTTGACTCTTCTCCCCGCTCCACACTTGCGAAATACATTTGCCTTTCCAGTAATTATCTACCAGCAGTGTAGCGCTGCTGTCCTTAGCTACTACTGTATCTCATGAAACGTGTTCTTCTGGCGCTGTATTCGTCCCAAGGCTACTGCAAACACTGCACCTGCTGCTCTTTTACTGCACATTTATCTTGAGAGTAGATGCACGGCCACCGCAATAGCTCGCACAGCACTCTCTGTGTCCTGGCACTCAGACCGCGCCCTCCTCCGCTGTCGGCTGCCGGCTGCCGGCTGCCAAAGGTGCTCTGGACATCCGCCTGATGTGAGCCAAGTCTGCCAACTCACGAGATAGAAGTTTCCATTTAGATCCCTATTCCCTTCATCGAGTCGTATGTTTCGGTTCGGTTGAAGCCACACCATTTTTTGGACCTAGAAGTGCTGGCAAAGCCCAACAGTGACTGCGAAGAATTGCTAAATGCGAGAGAGGTCCTCACCATAGATTGGCTTGCCGGCATCATGTCTCTTCGAACATTGGTAAAAAGGCAGGTAAACATTACGGGACTGTGAGATTGGACAGACGTCGGTTCGTTCAGCTCATTGGGGTATATGTAGGTTTGATGGTCTGACCATACTATACAAATATGACTTATAACACCAAATATCCAAATACCGGTGCAAGCTTTCCTTCAACAGGCTTGAATACAACACTCCTTTCCAACCTTAACACCATCGCTCAGAAAAATATGAAGGAGACAAAAACAAAACAGCCGAGTCCTTATCAAGATTTTCTGGGCTTTTTAGGTGGTGGATCAAACACAATTCGAATATTGCGTGTCTCGGTAGGGGCTTGTGAGTCTCTTGACTGCTTTTTCTTCAGAAACCCTCTTCCGGTAGCACTACTTGGCTGTTGTACCCAAGGATTATTGCTATCATGAACCTCTCTTGGAAAGGTGCCTGAGCGGGGTGTTGTAATGGAAAGGCCGGGACTGAAAAGTGGTGAAGCAACACATGGAGTGCTGCATTGCTGTACTGTTGAATTGGACAAAAGAGGAGCAGTACAGCAGCTCGATACACTTTCTGTCGGGGACGAACCCTCCCGTGAGGGTGTATGGAAAGGAGCTTTCGTAGGCGCAGGGTGGGGGATTGTGATAATGGTAGTGACGATGCCGAGCTTGTGGCTTTCTTTTGAAGTTCTGACCGAGTTCTTTGACCGCGAGGCTGTATTGAAAAACGACGGCTTAGACACGTTTCGCTCCTCGTCCATGTATGGAGGCAGGTCACGGAAACCAGGTGTTGTTGGCGTGAGGTGTGTCTGGCAACGGAAAGAAAGAGAGGAGCGTCGATTGCGAGCAGAGAGCTTCTTACGCTTACGACATTGCATAAAGATGCAACCTGCAGAGATGAGAAGGAAAGCTAGGGCTCCAATTGTAATGGCAGCGATAATTGTGTTGGGGAGCTCATGATCATCTCCAGTGGTAAGAGAGGTGGAGGCATCAACAGCCGAGATGGATCTATCACTGAAAACGGTGTCGTTGAGTCCAAGCGTGGTTCCTGGTTTAGGACGCTGTTGGCATCCAGCTTCAAGGGCAACAAGAACTGATATAGACATTAGAGATATTCCGCAATTGATTGAGAAGCTAACTCACAATTAGATATGATCGTCTGGCTACTATCTGCCTTGACGCAAGCTTGACACTTGGCGACTGCATCGCCGAACATCGCTTTGCCATCAGTATCGCAATAACCAAACTGATCTCTGTCGTCAGGTTCGGTAATACCCTCTTCCAAAGCATTTGTGATAGGGCCGCACGCTTCTGATGTAATACATGGGCCTGACGAGATCCCAGTTGCGTTGGGATAACCAAAGATACAATAGTCGAAAGAGTAACGCATGTTGTCTGATCGCAGGCAAGATTAGAGGATGACACGAAGACGATGAAGGGGCTGCCTACATAAAAACCAATCTTGGTCGTTCTCATTCCCTTGTGTGAAGGTGCTGTCCTGAAGACAAGCTAAACATCTTTGGAACTTTTGGCCTTCGGCCTTTTTCTTGAAGTCGTCATCGTTGCAGACAATCTCGTCACCGAGCGTTTTAACCGACTTGGACTTAGAACTGCCGTGACAAAACTGAGCGCATGGCGAGTTGGGAGTAACCTGCAGAGCCTTGGCCGATATCCAGAAAAGGACGGTAAGAAAAACGGGAATAAAAGGCATAATCGGCGATGGCCGGCGTAATGGGCCAAGATCTCGAAAGAAGTTTGCGGTTTCGGTACACGGCTCTGTGTTTCGAAGCTATCAAGATGGGTTGGAGGCCAGACCAGCTGTGAAACGCCTCGTATTGGAGTATGAAGGAATGGCAATGAAGAATTTAAAACAAAGTGTGATTAGAGGAGAGGTGTGTCCCTCAAGTTAATGCCACAATGAGGCAGTGGTAGCTACCACGTAAAGCAGCAGTCACAAGGCTATACAACGAATGAACAGTGGATGAACAGAGTAACGTTTGCACTGCAAACAAATGACTGAATAGAAATATAGGGAACAGCAAGGGGAATATGAAACGGAAACTGAGAACCAACAAGAACAACAACTCAATAAAGACGGGGAAGAGCAGGCTTTTCGAATATGAAGTACTACGCTAGTGCAAGATCAAGACGTAGTACTCCATACTCAATAGCATGCTGTTCAATCTCTTCATCACTCGATCAAGAACTGCAGATGCAACGCCATGCAACTAGACATCACTTTGCCCCGCCTATAGGATTCCGCCGCAGAGAGCCAAGACAGGATCTAGACAGAGAAAAGAGATCCGATTGCCGCGATACAACTTCCAATCGTCCAATTCTCTGAGGAGAAGTGCCGCCATGTTGTCTGTGCCGCAATCAACGTTTGTGCGCTTCACCGTAGTCGATTAGTGATAGCAACCAATTATGCCCTATTTGGGATTGAAGCGATTCGGTAGCGAATAGGAATTGATGTTGGGAACCCACGAGCTTTGAGAACATACGGGCGCTTAGATCTATACCTATGCTCAGGTATAAGTGATAGGTAGTGATGGTGCTGAAGAGGACATTTCAATAGTTTGTTAGTGGGAGGTTTCCTTGAGTCTCATTGGTTTGTACCTGAGAAGGTGGGATGATGGCTGATTGGACCAGCGAATTGGAGACACGGAAGGAAACAACGGAAAGTGCTGGGCGGTTACGACTGCCGTTCGATTCAGGGGTTGCACAGGCCCCAGCGCTTATGCTGGGAAGGTTCGTCCTAGACTAGCTAGTTCGAGCCTCCTTCCACATCACCAACATCATTATCACCATGACTTTGCATCAATCAACACTCACTCAAGCCGGTATCCGAAGAGGTCCAATGAACCAACAGACGATTTGAACAAACTTTTCATAAGGTCATCAAAGGTTCTAATTCTGAAGGGAGAAATTCCCATTACACAGAAACCACGCCCACGTGGTTGTTAAACGCCATCCTGTCTAACCCAAATGTCCTTGTCACACTTTGGACTGCTCAACTGCCAAGCTAGGCAAAGTCCTCCACACTGGCAACATCGTATCCAATGGTGTACATACACCTTTTGCCCTTCCCGCACCACGCGTGGAACACCAAGAAGCCTTCGTCCTCAGCACTTGTGCCTCCACCAGGCCCCTTGAGCCCGAGAGCCGGCGTCTTGAGGAACGGGGCATCTCCCCGATGATACGGTCCCTGGACCTGATCGGCCACGGCATACTTGACATCGTATGCATCGTCCGTGTACATGTGACTGCTGAAGAAGAGCAGATATTTGCCGTCTGGTGTGTGCACTAGGTTGGGAGCCTCAACCAGGGGCCCGTCCTCTTCGGGGACCCGGTCCATGATATCCACAGGCGCGCCGATCGGCGTCGATCCATCTTCGGTGGAAACTTCCTGCAGTCGGATCGGAGTGCCGGCGCCGCCTTTGAGAGCATTGCCATCGACTTTATAGACGACATAGCGCTTGTTTGTCGACTTGTCGTAGAAACCCGCAGGATCAATTGCTCCTCCTTCGTCCTTGGGGCATGCGAAGGGCTTGGGATCCATCTCATATGGACCTGTGCTGTTTTTTGAACGCGCAACTCCGATACAGTGACCGCCCTCGGGATTTTGTCCTGAGAAGTACATGACGTACGAGTTATCGCCTAGCTTGCGCACATCAGGAGCCCAGAAATTCTTTCCGCTTGTCCATCCGTCGCCGGGGAGGGCGTCTTGGTCAAGGTGTGTCCATTGACCAAAAGGATCATTAGACACGGCCATTTGGATGTGATGTCCGTTTCCGCTTGTCGCGAAAGATACCCAGCGGCCGTCGTCATCATGAAGAAGACAAGGATCGGGGAAGTTGACGTCCAGTCGAGGCAGGAAGGTTTCAGCTTCTGATCTCTTGCTGATGAGTTGTTTGGGAGGTGGAAGCAAGTATGGGCGAATCGAAGGTTGAGATGAAGATCTTTTACCTATCATCTGCTTGGGTGGTGGGAGTAGAAATGGTCGTATTGAAGCAGAAGAAGATTTTGTGGGTAGGGCAGAGGCAATGTTTAGAAGAGAAAGAGAGAGGAAAAGGACAATAAGGTGCCCCCAAGAGCTCGAAAAGGAAGACATGATAGGCATGCTGTCTGATTTCAGTTTGTTGCAAGACGTCGGGAATGTCTTATATAAACTGTCCAGTTGAGCCTCAATCTCGGTCCCTGTTAATCTCGATGTCATGGGTGGTCGATCAATGGGTCCAAGTGTAGTTGGAAGGAAGAGGGATCAACAGGCTCTGACGTTGATTATTGAGTCAAGGGTCCATAGAAGAGGCTGCAAAGTGTTCACTGCCGAGTTAGAACCTTGTTATGAAGATTATAATAAGGTTGTTGAGGTCATGCAGCAACAACGTGTTGATAGGGGGTTGGGGCAGTAGACTTTTGTTTGTTTGAAGGTTCTTTTGTAAAACAAGCCCAGTCGAATAAGTATTAAGAATAGTACTGGGTATTAGAGAATTAGAAGCGAGTAACTAAACAGCTATCAATGAATCAGCCCTTTCGTCTAGACTTTATACTTCGTGGCTCTTCACTGCCCTAGGCCAAGTCATGGGTCGTCCTCCATAACACCCGACCCTCATTGTGTTCATGCAATCTCAAGCATGACAAAGACGGCCACCTTTGCGGTCTGATCTGTTCCATCTTTCTTAAAGGGTTTATTTTAAGATCGTCCCTGAAATCCTTTATCGTGAGCACCGAGATTTCAGGGTTCAATATGTCAGATGGGCCCAGACGACGCCCGAGCCAGGATCCTCCTCGATCATTCATGCCGTCTTATGCGCTGGTCGATTGAGCTGTAAATTGACGCTTTGATGATTCTGGACGAACCAGAGAAGCCATGGCCATCTCTGATAGCCACTCTGTTTAATGGTGAAACAGGGACAGCTGTTACTCAGAGATGCGCTGCTTGAGTCTGATTCGTCCCATGTTTTCCGGCCCAGATCCGATGTTTCGTCGGGCCAAGACTAGTTCTCTTTAGTGATCCACGACTAACACGCCAGTGGTTGGACTGTCGCTACGTACATATGTATGTACACCCATACTGTAGGAGATGAACTAGGCCAGATTCTGCGTATCAGAATCTTCTGAGAATATTCCTCTTGTGGAACCTCGTCTTAACTCAGCTTCTTAATCCTGTACCCAGAAAATGTGTCATCATATGTGCAGTAGCTTCAGCTCGTTTGCTTTTTCATGACAACACATGCGTCGCCCAGACTTTCTAGTCGTTTCAAGATGATGGATCCTCAACTACGCACCCAACGATTCCATGTTCTTAGCGAGCCACCAATATTACGTGACCGCAACATCATGCATCGTGTATCAAATCTTTTAAAACACACATCATCGGGCATTACACAAGCCGGTCACAGGAACCAATTGCAGTCTGCAGTCTGCAGTAGCGAGACATGTTACCATCACATACATATATTCGTTCACAGAATCTAGGGAATCAATCATCGGAGACATGTCGTAGTTTTTATCGTCCTTTGCATTGAGTGCCTGACATCTACTCCAGGATTTTCAAACCAAACGCCATATTATCCCTAGAAAACAATTTCAAACAGCAAAAGAAACGGCACCAAAAGCGAATATGGTACAGCATGCAGACCGCTCCTTGCCAACAGACCCTACATCTCGGGTATCAAGGTCCGCTTTATGATTCAAGCTTATAACCAAACTCTTGGCCTTGAAACGCTTAATCACTGTCGCTATCCATAGCCTCGCCCTTAGAAGCCTTCTTAGCAGCCTTGGCCGCCTTCTTCTCGGCCTTGCGTCGCTTCCTCTCAGCCTTCTCCTCAGCAGTCTCGCCCTCGTGCTTCTTGCGCTTCTTGTCCTTGCTATCATCAGCAGCGGGGGAAGCGGCCTCCTCCATGGGGGTGTCCTCAGCCTCGGAGGCCTTGGCGGGAGTGGCAGGGGTAGCAGCAGCGGCGGCAGCAGATGCATCGGCGCTGAAGTCCTTGTACTCGGAGCTCCACTTGGCAGGAGTGGCATCGTTGGGGCGACCGTACTTGTCGAGCTTTCCGTCAGCCTTGAGTTTTTTCTTCTCAAGGGCAACGGGACCGAGACCCCATCGGCGGGGGTAAAGGTCGCGCTCCATGATGCAACGCTTGACCTTAGCGACAACACCGTGGTCGCAGGTGGACATCTCGACGGTGGACATCTGAGCAATACCCAGAGCAATAGCCTCACCCTTGGTGGTCATGAGGACGACTTCCTCGTGGTGCTCAATGGCGGACTCTGAAAAGAAATTAGCAATTTGCGACAGGAGAAATTGTTGAGTAGGACTTACCGTATCGAAGAAGACCAGGAAGCATCAGCTTGGCACCGTAGCAGACGGCGTTGACAGCGCTGTCCTTGACGACCAGGCGCTTGTAAGAGGTCAGGAGGGTCTCAAGAGGAGAGATGACCTTGCGGAGGTAAGACTCGTCGCGAGTGTTGTCCATCTGCCACTGAGCGTCGAGAACGTCGTGAAGAGTGACAAGGCCCTTAGACTCGTCCATAGCACCACTGCGAACACGTCGAAGCTCCTGCATGTGGCCACCGACACCGAGAAGGAGACCCAAGTGAACACAGAGTGTTCGGATGTAGGTACCAGCCTCACAGCTGACCCAGAAGACACCGAGGTGTCGGTCGTTATCGAACTCGATGAGCTTGCTCTCGTGGATGGTTCGGATACGGAGCTGACGCTTAACGGCAGAGATCAAAGGAGGACGCTGGAAGAGCGCACCGGTGAGGGTCTCAAGAGCGCGGGCGAACTGAGCCTGGCCACCGGGCAGCTTGTCGTGGAGACGGATAACAGCAACATACTCCTTTCCGGCACCCTGCTGGGACTTGACAAGACGAGTGGCGCGGTCAATGCAGACAATCAAGCAACCGGTAACCTTGGGATCAAGAGTACCGCTGTGACCTGTCTTCTCGCATCTGAGATACCGTTAGCAAATATTCCAACGCGCGCATTGACGCGATAGTGTGGAGTTGAAATTTTTCGTACCGAAGAATGCGCTTGACCCAAGCGACGACCTCGTGAGAGGAAGGGTTGGAGGGCTTGTCGAGGTTGATGACACCAGAGCTGATGTACTGCTTAAGGTCGCGCTTCAGAGGAGAGCAGCCATTGGGGATGGGAGTGAAGTGGCCAGTGCGAACGAGAACTGCAAGTTTTGAAGATTACCGGTTAGTCCTTGAATCTTGAATTGAAGCGAGCAATTGAGGCTCAATGGCCACAAAAAATATCAAAAAAGAAGTTGCAGACGCAACTTATCATCGGGAGACTCACGTTTTTCGTAGTTCTTGAGGAGAAGAGGCCACTGGCTGGTGTCGAGGGAAGGAGTGGTAGCCTGGGGCTTGATAACATAGTCCTCCTCGGTTGTCGTCTTCTTGACGACCGCGACTTCCTTAGACATCTTGACGGTTAAATGTGACTTCCTTTCTGGAGAATCTGTGTGATATTCCGGGCCAAGCGCGGCAGGTGCTTCAAGCGACAGGAGGGAAGAAACGGAAGGTGCGAGTCGTAAATTTCCTCGGTGTCTTGCCCGGTGTGATGATATGGAAGGAAGCTTCCAAATTTTTTTTTCTCTGGGCGGATTTGACTGTGGGGCGGAAGGAAGCTGCGACCGGTGTGTGGCGGCAATTGGACACTAGTCTGTATATAGTAATACCAGCCATTTTTCTGAGTCGCGCCACAGTGGCAGCCACAAGCGATGCTTCCGTAGCGCATATTTTGTCTTTCAACAGTTCATTGGCTACCTTACCTTGCCTACCTAAGTAGGTACTTATATATATATATGTAAATTTAAAAAATAAAAATAAAAAGGTAGTGCATAAATTTCGCTGAACAACTAAATACTTTGCATAGGTAACTAGAAGTAGGTAGGTTCTTGTAAATTAGTTATATATATTTCACTGAACTCTTGAAGTATTTCGCAGCGTAAATATGTACTTGGTTGGTTCAGTCAGAGTCATCACACATCATGGTATCCTTCAACCTTCAACGCCGAGCTAATAAAAGGGATGATAAATACAGTTTATGCAGTCTATGCCAGATAATTCGCCAGCTTTAGGGGTAGCGTCCCTGCTGATGGTCATCACGATCCCCGTAACTCGAGTTCGGATAACCGTACGCCTGATTTACATACGAAATTCCTTCTGGGAAGTATCCTGCCCGTGGAACAGATGTACTGGATTCGCCGGTTCGATAAGGGTCGGGCTGATAGATCCCTATGCCCGCATGCGGGTTATCCACTGGAGTCATCTCGTACTCCTCTGTGCGGTGCCCTTTGCCTTTGGAGTTGCCTGAGTTGATGGACGAGTCATCCCCACCCAGAGCAACCCCTATCTGAGAGCTGGTTGGATCCGGCTGATACATTGACGGGAACATGGGCGGGAATGGTGTTTGGTTATGAATTGCCGTAGTCGTCTGCTGGTTGGGTGCCATTACCGGCCAGTGGGCGAGCTTCAGTTCTGTTGCGCTTACAGGGCTGCTGTACTGCGAAGCATAGGGCGAGACATGATGCGGTGGGAACAATTGCTCGGATCGGACACTGACTGGCGACTCATCCCAACTCCTGAGCGGCTTCTGGCTGAGAGGGGTATCGCGTGTCTCTCGAGTTTCTCGGGGAATAGTAAGCGGAGTCGGCCAGGAGTTAGCCTGTTTTGTCTCAAGCTTGCTAAGAAACGCCCTTCTGCGTCTTCTACCTCGCCAAATGATGCAGAATCCAAGAATGAATAGTATCAAGGCTAGGCCTCCAGCGGCGATGCCGACTTTGGCTCCCAAACTAAGAGGGCCCTGATCAAGCCAGTCCGGGTCTAGGGAAGCGACTGGTGATGGCGCAGTGATGTTGACATTGTCTCTCGAGAATATGCTTCCGTCTGTAGAGACAAGCGTGCCAGGTTCAGGCTTTTGTTCACATCCAGCTTGAAGAACTGTGATGACTGCTCATAATCAGCAAATTGACTAGCGGGAAGTTGTTCCAGAACATACAGTTTGAGATGAAGTGATTGTCTCCTGCTTGAAGACATTCTGTGCATCCAAGAAAGTCGGCCGTGTCGTGCACAGGCCAAGTATCGCAATAGTCATAACCATCAACCTCTGCAGTCAGATTGTTATAGATTATGGAGTCGCGGAAAGGCCCGCAGGCTTTTCTGTTAAGTCGTTAGGAACAGTCTGGGTGCCATTCTAGAAGCGACGACTTACGAAGTCAGACAAGGTGTGTTGATGGTGTTTTTATTATCGGGGATTCCAAACAAACAATATGAAGTAGCGTAACGTAAGTTGTCTAGAAGCAGTCAGTACCTAATCTCAACGAGGCATCATAGGATGTGTCACTTACAAAGGAAGTAATGCTGGTCTGTTTCATTATTCTTTGTGCGGTAGTCACTGCTTTGTTCGCATGTGAGGCATTGTTGAAACACAATGCCTGAGCCGCTATCATAGTCGCCCTCATGGCAGACAACATCGTCGCTGGTAGTCGAGTCGAGGACATTGCCGCATACCGTTCCGCAGGGCGAATTTTCTGCTACAAGGATGGCAATAGCTGGACGTAGCAGGCCCAGGCCTGTTGTTATCAAAGTCAACCCACGCATTCTGGGTGAAACTGATTTATGGTCGAGGAGCGGTTAGCCGTTTGTCGCAAAGACAGATAGACCCGGATGACTGTATGGGTCACAGATGGAAAGCCCAAGTGAAAGAAAACGGAGCCCGGTAGAGGGGATGAGTCCGCTGTGTTACATGTCCAGTCCCAGCGATAGGTGAAGCTGAGGGTTATTCTGCGCGCGCAGTAGGACGAGGTTGCCGCTGGGGGCGGGACGACAAATCGGCCGCAGTCTTTGCTCTTATATCAGGCTGGACGGTTCAGAGACGCCGCACCATGTGTGACATATGATATGTGCCAATGGGTACGATGTGGCGCTTCTTGTGCCTGGCGCCCAAGATGATGTGATGAGCGCGGTTACAGATCGTTGGAATCTCTCTCTCTAGAGGAAGCACGATGTGAATGATGCGAGTGATGAGTTGAAATGGCGTGGTGACAGACAGGTCAATATCAATCCGCACCGCAAAGCTGCATAGGCGCATAGGGATAGTGACAAGATAAATGTCTGATTGGGGGCCAAAGTCCCACCGTTCCCTCCCAGCCTCCGCATGTTGAGGATCTGGAGCTGTGATAGCTGCTTGATTGTCGCCAGGATTGGTTGGCATCAGTGGGTTCTTCAAGATGGATGGTGTTGAGAGGCCGGTAGATGAGGGGAATCGACCACTCACAGTCGTTATCACGACAATGACCGACTCCAACTGAGCTTCGCTGCAAGGACCCCTAGTCTTTTCACACTAGCCTCAGCGGCTACAGGCTCAATGACCGATCATCCACCCTTGTCAATTCAACTTTGCCCCTGTCTAGCGCCCTCGTCAGACCTAGTCCGGCTTTTGTTCCCGTGAGATTGCTAGTCCGCGGCACAGGGTAAGGGTTCTCCGTCCATCGAAGAAACATCATCACAAGTGCTTGCAGAACATGTTGATTTGCTAGAATTGGTCTGTTTTGTTTTTCCTGTACGGATATCACCAACAAGCCATGGCCACCTTGTCCGTATATCCGATTATGGTATTTGCACTACGGATTTAAGTTATCAAAACCAGAAAGGCCAAAATAATGTTCATGTAAAAGGAAGAATACTGTCTACGTACTAACTCAAGTTGTCTCCCAGTATTACTCGTCTCAATCGAATGTTTTATATCATAGCATAGGTATTTCATTATCTATCTACTACAGGCTCGTAGAACGCCTAGCTTGCCAGTCCGCTGCTTAACAAAAACAAATAAAAATATGATGCGACAAAAGCATCTGGTGCCAAGTAGGGGAAGCGTTATGAGGGAAAACAGATCTCCGAGCGAACTCCAAAAGACATGTTAGTCTGTTGAGTCATTGAACCCAGATTGGTAGATCAAATATCCAAAATATCAGTCATTCGCACACGCAGCGCAACCGATACCCATCGCGAATCCATCAATTTTCTTAAAAACAAAGTGAATCATAATGAAAGAAGACAAGTGGTGGGCATGTGCATCGTGAGAATATACGCAAGCAAAGAAAGTAGAACAGGAGTGCGCCTAGGCGTGTATGCGTGTAAAATATTACGCGACTTGAACACTGTCTCCTTCGGGCAGAGATACTGCAGGTACACCGGTCTCATCCAAGTGACCAGTGGGAAATAAGTCGACATCCAGATCGTCGGTTTTGAAAACCATGGCCTTCGGGGTGCTAGGGTTAAAGAAGGAAGGCGTAGCAGGTGACCGACCAGGTGTCGAAATTGTCTGCAGTGTCTCTGCAAAAGATCCAGAGTCACTTGCATCTGCTAGTTCATTCGTTGCATACTCGGAGGTTTTCTCTCTGGACTGGTCGCGAGACCCGGTAACAGTAAAAGGAGACTTTTCTGGCTGTGGGATTGGCTTGTCAGCCGGGAGGGGATTGTGGTCCTGTTGAGTAGCAGTGTGGTCCTGTCTACCAGGAGGCGATACCGTAACAGGTCTCACGGTAACGGGTCTCGCGATCGGGTGATTGACCGGAGGTGCGCTTTCAGTATGCCTGCTCCGACTTGTAGAGGGATGCCGGCCATGAACAGGACAACTGGGGCAAACCACCGATTCAACTCTTGCAAAATCGCGGGGCATAACGTCGCGAGACGGCATGCGGCCATTCTGGCCAGATGAAGTTCTTCGCGTTCGGGATTGCCGTCCTCTCGATCGATGCTGATCTGTCCGGCTATGTAGCAATACGTTGCAAGTTGAGTCTTCAGATGTGGAACGCTCAACTGATGGCATCGTCAAATCATATGCTCCATTGGTCGGTAAAGGCTTGGGGTCTGGCATTCGGCCACGGCTCGCAGCGCGCATGGACGTATGGGATGCAATATTGTTCGCGACAGGTGTTCTAGCTCGCTCCGTGTTGGTGGTATGAAGAACGCCTTCAAGGCTATTGAAAGAACCGGTACGGTTGTCAAAATCTGATCGTGACGATGATTGTTGGTGACCTGAGCTTTCGTTTCTGAAGAGACTTGGGCTAGCAGCTATCGGAATCATATGCTGTTCCGTTTGGATATTGCTGGAAGCAGACTTCGGACGGCTACTGCTGCGATTTCTGAACTGAGGCCAGTCTTGAATGCGTTTGCCATTCGCAGATTCTGATCTCATTCTACTGGCAGATTCTGCACGCTGGGAAATCCCTTCAAGATGCTGTGTGATGGCATCACTAATGTTGTGGGCCTCGAGTGATGAATCGGATCTTTCTCTTGTTCCTGTCCGACTGGCGTTTCGGGATTTTGGTGATGGCGGTCTGGCATAACCTTTGTCTTGCTTCGATGGGGATTTTGCCGTACCCCTCGATGCTCGGGACGATCTAGAAGCTCGCGAAGCCTCGGAGGATTCGGATATGATCGTTCCGTTAGTTCTATTCGATGAAGTATTCGACAACGGGCTGAACGCTCTGAGGTCTTTGGGGGTGGGATTGTTCTTGTTGCGATCTGGAATGTTACTAGAGCTTGATGGGCGAATATCTGCCTTGATCTCTGACCAGGGAAAAGGCTCTGGCTTCCTGCCTACCGCTGTAGCCGGTGTCCACCCAGCAGATAGCGGTGTCGGTCCGGCAGACTCCGAGGCTCTCCAGAACCATCGGTCATCTGTTGGGGACAACCCATTGAACGATAAAGGTGTCATACCGTCACCTGGGTCTGTACTGGTGAAACGACGGCTGTACATGTCCTCTCCCGTTTTAAAGGTGTTGGTTGGGTAGCCACTGAGGGGCGCAGCGCTGTTGGGATATGGAGTACTGTCTTCTGGTCGGCGTGTCTGTACAGTACTAGTAGAGGCATGGGACATATTGGACTGAACAGATCTTTCTGACCTCAAAGAAGCAGCGCTAATGGGATGGTCTTGAGGATACTGGTGAGGAAGAATAGGAGGCGACTCGGGAATGATGAGTCTAGGTCGTAGATTTATAGGGGTTGGACTAGGCGCCGACGGTGTGGGAATGTTGAGGCTATCCACGCCTGGAGATCGCATGGAGTCGCTCAATACCAGACCAGGAGCTGGAGGGATGGTAATCGTAGGCGCCTGTCGTCTTCTCGGCAAATCGGCGACTTCATCCTTAGGAAGGGTGCAACGCTGTGACATGGTAGAAGGTTGCTGTCCTAGTCTTGTTATTGAGCTTGAGGTGTATGGGGTTGTTGTATGACTAGCGTTGCTTTTTGACTCGTCATCCTTGTTGGAATCCTCCAAATGGCGTCGAATTTCGTTAGACCAAGGATTGTTGTTTGCCTCTCGTTGCAACTTTCCAGGTGCCTCCATGCCAGCACCCCTTGGATCTGGACGGTAGACAAGCTTTGCATAGGGAGAGTTATTGGTGTCGACGACCAATAATTCTTTCTCACCCCGTCCCAACAGACCATAGACCCTGACTTCTCCATCTTGGACACCGATAACTGCACTGGTGCCTGCGTACAACACCTCGTCCTCATTGCCACAACGGTTACAGAAGACAACAATGATCTCGTCTTCGCTCTCAGCGCGGATAAGAGGTTCAAGTCGAGTGACCCAATAAGTCAGGGTTTCCATGTCAGGTTCGTTGGGCATGCGTGTAAATCGACGAGGTTCCTCCCTGGTCATCCAGGCCATGGATACGATGACCAGATTTGACTCTACTTCGAGAACATGATATGCAAACTCAAAGTCATTCCATGGGGCTTCGAACTTGTACGGACTACCTCGAGGTTAGTGGCTCATATACTATAATTCCGCACATAGTAAGTGTAACATACTTCAAGTCCATGCCTATGAACAATGTTAGTTATATCAGTCCGAGCTAAGAGTTCCTTTATGAGCTTACATATTCCTATTGAGGTGTTCCCTAGTCCGGGAATGAAGCCCTCAAAGAATCCTTGTCCGCCTTCCAAGGCCCACGTCTCATCGGTATAATATAGGAAGGATTTCCGGTAGTTTCCTATTGTTTCGCCGTCTCCGTTGACAACAATGGCCGAGTTGTAGTATTCGGGGCCCGTAGGCCATTTGGGGGAAACGTCGACCTTTTCGGGGTATCCTACGGTGACGGTACAGTTATACTTGAGAGCGATTGTCCTGGCCCAGAGAGACGTGATGCCAGAGCCGGAGGGTTCGAGAAATGGCGTAATGTCTTGCAACGACTTGAAGTTGTACCCTTTTCAGTGTTAGCTTTTAGAGCATGACAAAATATAATATCCTGTGGGTAAGAGTTGAGGAAGATGACAGAGAATTTTGCCGCTCTCCGTCAACTTCAACAGCTCAAGACAAATTACCAGAGAAAGCCAGCTCGGGTAGGACAAGGACATCCAAATCGTCGGGGTTCGCTCGTGACAATACCGCATCGGCGCGATTCAAGTTGTTATTGACATCTCCCACTTGGGGCGCGAATTGCAAGCACCCTATTCTCATGATTGCAACGGGTGCTGGTGGTTGAATGAATGCGACACTGAATCGAATCGATGGATGGAACCCCGCAAGAGCAACACGTCTTCCCTACCGAACAACACCTTGGACTGCTGGAGCCCGGAGCTATGAGAAGCTCAACGAGCAAGAGAAAATGAAAAGACACGACAACAACAAGAAAAAAACACGATCTGAAATGCAAAGAAGGAACAGAACAAAAGGATAAAATTAATCCCCAAAGGAGAAGATTCGAGGTGAATGGTGGGAATAAACGTGGAGAACAGCCGCCCAATTTGGCGCAGGTCGAGGAACCAACAGGTATATCAGGCGACGGTTGGGGGCTGGACAAGTCCCTGACACTCACCCATGGATGGGAACAGTGAAGGAGCGTCGGTCCACCCTTTACTCCCCGCTAACTACTGCAATTCGATCTCGTGCCGTCACTGCCATGGGCTAAGCCTTAAGAGCCCAGTAAATCACGAAAAGAGTGACGCTGGTAACGTTGGCGCTGACGGGGAGTGTAAGTTAGGGCCTCATGTGGGAAAACCCAGCTTCCTTCCAAGCCCAAATTGCGCTCAAAAAGAACCTTAACCAATTACTGCTGGACGCGCTCAAACCCTTACCAGCTACGGCTGCAATAAACGGGCGCATCTACCAGAAGACGGGGCCCAATTGATGACGAGGGTTAAGCGCTCAACAACCCCGCGACAAGGGTTCATGGCATGGGTCTCCCGCATTCCCGGAGCCTCTATACTGTATTTGTAGTTCGCTTAGGAGGGTCTGGGACTGATGTCACTGGTTGACGATATCGACGTGACAGACATATCGTCAAGCAGTGGAGCAGATGATACGATGCTTCATCCTCAGCCAGTCAGTTCCGTTCCATTGGCTGCGAGTTTAAGAGCCAGGACAACACATTTATCTTAATTCAGGTAGGAAGTGCGTGCGAACAATGTGAACAAGTCTCCGAAGTCCTTTTAGACCCGTTAGACTGTAGACAGTTGCATTCTGTAAACTCCAGCCACCTCGTTATCTGCAGGCACTACACAGATATTAGTGTTTTTTTCTCTTGGTTCTCGGCGTCTATCACGCCTCCATTAACTGAGTGTACATGGTAGTTAATGGCAGTCCAACGTCCTATGAGTCTCTATCACTTTGCCTTATTACTCAGAGACAAATACAGATAATGGTATGGCGTTATTTGCTGGGGGTAATAAGAGAAAACGTTCACCCTTCTTCTTCCAAGCCGTTAATGATAAACGAAGCCAGCCCCGATTTTATGTTCGATCAATGTTCGCGCTGGGTTCTAAGACGGCCACGAATTGCCCCTTGCTGCCAAGGTCTTGCATCATCTTATGTTAGGAAACACACAGTAACTAATACGAATTGAGGTGGGCATTGCAGCCAACATTTGTTTCATCGTCACCTTTGCTAGTCAATCTTTGCAAGCTAATAAGCCTCCAGCATCCCTCATTGGTTCCCAAATTCTAACGGCTGTGATTCGAACCTTGCATATACAGCAGCAATTCGATAGCCAGTAACGATTAAGTCCAGTACACCAGAACCTTGACCGCGATTTCGGATTTCGATTACTTCTGTCAGTGTGTAAGCCCATGGGCAAGTTCCCCTCTTTTCAGGACTCCGTTGTCATGTTTGCTGGGGTTCTGCCTTTCTCGCTTGTGCTGGTGGTTGACTCTCCTGCATTGTCAATCTCTCTACCAGCGCTGTGTTCCAAAATGAAGATGAAACGTTCAATATCAAGGCTGAAGTTGCAGCAGAAAAGCAGGAGTATGGCATCATGTGATTTTTTTTCTCTTTCCCACTGCAGCGGCATGCTTGCCGCAAATTCATTGACATGTCAGTCAACTAAGACAGAGCCGCGCGCCTGTCACTATCTCTGACATCCCAACCATCGAACAGTCTTGGGGAATTTTCAAGCCTTACCGCTCTTTCTCCCCTTCTCTCCAGTCCTGGTCGTATATGATAGTCTAGGGAACCATGCTTGCTCTCTATTTGCTTTATAGAGTAGACTACTACGTAGTATGATCGCCATTTGTTTGTAGGCAAACTACGAGTTGGTTAATGAGGTACTGAGTTATCGGCTCCGTTGGGTTCCAGGTTCGTACGACACGTAACCTTGCACAGGGGAAGGAATGGGGCCAACACAGACAGTCGAGTTAAGCCAATAGCACTCTCGGATTTGGAACTTGTGCTCATGGACAATTACGGTGTTCATATTACCATATGCTTTACTGTAATGATGGCAAACTCTTTGATATGGTTACAACCATTAATAGACGTTTCTGTTTTATGAGTTTGGCTTATAAATGCACAGCATTTAGTGTATGACAGCTCGATCCGACGATACCTTTACAACAACACCATATCAAAATTTGATGGCATCGACCAATACATGGCATAATTCTTCTAAGCCCTCTAATTAATCGAATTTCTTCCTGCCTTACACGTTTTTTTCCTTAAATAAGTAGATTTTGGAGGTTGGCTTACCCTAAACCTACCACTCACATGACAGGTAACGAGCTTCTTTCACGGCATCATGCTACCTATCTGACTGGTTCAAGGGTGTCTTCAACCGTGTCGATTCAGGAGTTCGGGCTGTTTATTCATCTTAAGCTGCTTAATGTATAGACTTGTAGATACAAAGAGATCAAATATTCTTGTGATGCCACCTGCATCGATACAGTACTCCATGGAAGCATCAACGTTAAATGTGAACCAAGTATGTACCAGTGGGCTGAAGTTGATTCAACCTTAACCAAAGAACAACGGGTAGTTTGTCATTGGGAGCCATTGATAAAGACCTTTGGCAAGATTTCCGGGCATCTGGTAGCTTGCCTTGCTTACATACTAGACTGGAAGCTTCCCCGTAATTATGAAACAGTCATGATCCGTGCGTCGACTGACATCAAGCGAGGATACCAGGACTTGACTTGGTGATCTGCAAACACGAGGACGAAAACCCATGGGGACGGCGCCCATTTATGAATCTAGCCTCGAGATCAGGCGAGAATGACATCTGAGAAACTCCGCAGTCCAGAACAAAACGAGCATGCGCTTCCTCGGATGAATCAAGCCTCTTGCCGCACCGACTTAATTAGATAAGGATGCGATTACATGCAGCTCTTGTCACTATCACATCTGCCCCAGTGGCCACCCGTTGGTTCGTGGCACCAGGAACGAATTAAAATCAGCCCCGGCGCGTCTGCGGCAATCTGAGCGCTTGTTTAAGTTGTAACCTCGCGAGGAATCTGGGATAGTGTCCCCGAAATAGCGAGGACTTAAGGACGGATGAACTAACTAACAGCCGGTAGTGGCTGGCAAGGGATCGATACGCGCGCTCTGGTTCTGGGGCTCAAGAAGAGTAAACCGTTCCTTGGTCTGTAAAAATTGAATGATAAGAGCCGGACCGAGTTCATCGCTACAAACAATTTAGTTCGAATCTATGCATGTCGCTAATCTGTTTCTTCTCCGCAGCCAAGAAGAACGTCGGCACGACCAACATCTGGCCTAGGACGGAGTTGTTTGTTGCATTATCAAGTGGAGGACGAAGATACTAGGAGGGCTGGTCACGCGAACTGGCCGGCGTTTGCAAAACCATTGCCAGAGTCTTGATCTGGGCTGTGGCGTCCTTTAGACCCCTGTCAGTTTAAAGCCTTAACCGCCGAGGAGGCATACCAAAATGCCCCTATTGGTTGCTACCAAAACTCTACAGGGTCTCTGGCTTGAAACAGAGAGCATCATTGGCTACAGCTCCTAGTTTGTTTTCTATTCTGAGCTGGCACACTCTTACACTTTATTCCCCTCATCCTGGCGACTGTCTGTCCTATGATACGGCACTTTGACATCCATTCCACTCCGAATCTACCACATAGTTGAGAGCTGACAGCTCAATGCGGCAAGCCAATTTTTAAACTAGCAGGCATTCAATCTCAGTCTCCCGGTCGCTTAAAGATAATGTAGTACCAAGCATATCTCCCGCTGCTTGATAAATCGATCATAATGCCCACATGCCCTTTTTGAAGCTTGTCTTTCCACCTTGTTCTGGTTGACGTATGTTGGTTCACAAGAATCTTAAACTTTGCATTATCACATTGGAGATCAATTGCTCTCTTTAGTTGACTTGTGGATTCAACACTCGAGAACTGTGAGGTTGCCATCACGGCATGTCATGCTGGGGCCCTCCAAGTGAACGGCTCTCACCTACCTCCCACTGAGCCTCAACTCCTCCAGTCTATCCCAAGACCCGCCAACTTCAAGCCAACATCTCAAAATGCGGGGATTGTTCTTTGGGCTGAGCATAACAGCTCTTCTCCTATCTCCTAGTTCCGCCCTACACTTTACACCCGACTCTGAGTGTGCTGCGTTGTGCTCGAGTGGTTCAAATTCAACCGCATCTTCCTTCAAAACATCTGCGACAAACTCTTCCGAGATTGTATGTGAAGATGGCGAATATTCTGACTCGGGGAACGGCATCAGGTTCAAGAACTGTCTCAACTGTCTCCAGAAGAGTGATGCTACGGGGGAGGAAGAAAGTGATGTTTACTGGTTCCTCTGTGAGTAACATGATAAGACGTCTCTGTTGTGACAGGTTTGCTAATTCCCCTGTGTTGTAGACAACGTCCGATACGCTTTCGACGTTTGCCTCTACTCTTACCCTGACGCGGTGGACTCGGGTACCATCAACTCGCCATGCAACATCGAAAGTTCCTGTGGATCTCTAGAGGATGCCTTGACACTTTCTCTCAAAACAGATACCGATAACCAATTCGATTACTGTGAAGCCAATGATTCCATCATTAAGAGCTCTAGCTATAAGGAGTGCCTTGGTTGCTTGCAATCGACATCGAATCAAAAGTATCTTGCAAACTGTGAGTCGCCCTAATGAATAGGTTCAATGAACCATAATATTAATAAGTCACTAGTTCTGGTCGCTCTTAAGGCTGGCTGCATCCAGGAGCCCGAGAAGGGTGATATCATTGGCCTCAGTGGCACGATTTTCTCTACCTCACTCATCAACATTACTGACCCCAATACTAACAAGACTCTACCTGGCGATGACGGTGCGCCTGTTGGCTCCATGACCACGGGAACAATCGTCGGTATTGCTGTTGGTTGTGGGTTAGCATTTGCTGGTGCAGTCTGGCTCCTCTTCATCTACTGTCGCAGGAGCAGGAAGCGCCAGGGAGCTGGAATTAAGATCGAATCACCGCCACCAGACGCCCCTATGAATGATCGTTCCATGTACGGCATTCAAAAATCTTCATACTTTACAGACCATCCAGGCCGTCCCCCATCGACGATGAGCAACGCTGCTCGATTTGGAGCACACTCTCGGAACGCATCTAACGTAGAGTATTTCGATGGTCTTGACAATGGAAGAGGAAGCTCCGAGACACCTGTCACCTACCACTATGCACCTCACGCAAAGAGCAACGCACCCAACGGTGCCCTGCCTACGCATCCTGCATATATTCCTCGGGTTGTCAGTCGTCTGCCTGATCCCAGGTTACCTGCACCATCCGGCCTCCGTAACGTCAAGACAAATGTCCCCGACTCATACGCCTTACAAACATACCTTAATGCCACTGGTAGCGAAGCTCGACGCACTACGGACACTCCATCCGAGAGCGTGACAACTTCACACGCCGGCAGCCGTAACCCTTCTCCGGTTCCGCAACAATATGCTCCTGTCAACCCATCAGCATCAGTACCTCCACCACCGCCTGGGCCTCCACCATCTTCTGAGCCGCAGAAGCCAAAGCTACCAAGTTTTGCATTCCCTTCTCTTACTAAACTTTCGATCCCCAAGAAGAAGACACCCCCTCAGCTTAATTTGCTGGAGGCCACCCCTATCTCCGCGGTCGACAATGACCCCGGCCACGAGCTACGGATCTCCAAGCCGCTTGCTGTTCTGGACCCAAGATTTCAGGACAAACCTCTTGGGGGCGGACAAGTCCTGTCCCACGAGATCCCAGCCGGATTTAATGATGCGTACTTGAAGAGAAGGGAGGCTAACATATCTCCAATGCTGAGTGGCAATAGCCGTGTCTATGGATAAGTCAGTTGGGTGCTGGCTCGATCTTGGTTGTAGATTTTTCTTTTTTTGAATTTGAAAGCTTGGAGTTACTTGGTTGATATATCCGGGCGTCAAGCCATCTAGATCGGTACGAAACACATCACAGGGCGTAAGAGTTTTAGCGAGAAAAAAAATCATTCTTCTGTCTTATTGTACACATACTGCAAGTGACCGATTAAATGTTGGTGATGTCCACCATTCAGCCCAATCGCTGACCTCGGCCGCGAGTCCGCCACGAGTCTGGCAGCGGGCCACCCTTGTCCACGCCAGAGCTGCTGCCAGTAGAGGCCGCGTTGCCAGGTCGAACAGCAGTACCAAAGCCTCTTTGGAGAACCCTAGGAGTTTGCACCAGACGCTCGAGCCAGGCAGGAATTCTCAATAACTGAGGGCCGTTGCCGAATTCTGGCCAGAGTCGGGACAAAAAGTCGTAGAGATGAGCAGCAACCAGACCTTCAACCTCGACCAAAGCCTTGTACGGTCCGGCCATGAGCGCACCGACAACAATCATACAGATTGGCAGAGCCTGGGCTGGGATAGTAAGGACGAAGTATTGGGCTTTCTGACCTCGTTGGTCCTGGGTCACGGTGTACGTCATGGCAAGAATGAGGCCGTTCATGTAGAACATGCTGTTAAGGCCGGCAAGGTAGTCGATCATCTAGCGACGTCGTTAACCTCGGTACAGGCACAAGACATATGGGTACGTGTTTGGGATATAAATGTTCTATTGCTATGATATAGAGATGTAGGGAGCTAAAAAACCACTCGAGTGAATTGGGAGTCACACGAGCCATCCATATAGACATCCCACCATGCCTGCACCACAGACCAACCCGGAAATGCGAATGATGGGCGGTCCGAAGTGCAGGGGTAATCTTCCTCATTTCCAGGAACCGTGATAGCTGAAGAGGTAAAGCACTATCCGGGCAGATATATGAGGGGTGGTTTGAAAAGGGCACATAGGAGTGTAGCAAGGCACGGGTATGTAGACAAAAGCTTACCAAAATTACTGAGCAGACGAAGAGAATATAATAGACAAGATCGACCTTGCGCGGGAAACGGCTGTTTCCCATCTCTAGCGAAACGCAATAGCGATAGAGGAAGAACGAGTTCATAAGCAGACTGATGGGTTGCAGTTCGATCAAGAAGCATGTCACGAGACGCCAGATCTGAGGAGGGATCATCCAAAGATATGACGGATGGTGAACCACACTGTAGGCCGAGACAAGTCCGACCTTACAGGCAAGGGACGACAACACTGTAGCAGTGACTAGGTTTCTGAGGAATAGTTAGCAGGATGTACACCAATACGCGAGTGAGGTGATCATTGACATACCGAGAGATGGCTGGGAGTTCCCAGTAGGCGGCCATAGCATTGTCAGCCATTTTGGGCAACTTTGCTCAATAGCGACAAGTGGAAATTGAGTTTGTGTGATAGCAGAATGTAAACAACAGCTGAGTCAAATGCACTGTTTTTTTTTTTCTTCTCACCAGGAAGAGAAAGAAAGACAAGTGAAGGATATCCAGCGATGTTTTATGAAGGAGAAGAAGCACGGGACTCTGTGAAACCAGGCACCATAGTTGGTTATTGCTTGCGTGTCATCTTCGTCTCCGGAGCTTGTTGATCCTTGGAAGAGTGTGGAAGAAGAGAAGGTGGTAGCTTGAAAAAAAATTCAATAAATGAGCGAATCCGCTATAGCGGGGCACGATATCGGGGCCGACGTTTCGCCGTGGTTGTGCGGCTGCCCTACCTAGGTAAGTGTGGCTCATCAGAGCTCGCGCCACACCTCACACCAAGTGTGTCATGGAAACGGAACTGCCCGGCATTCGGCCTTCTCTACAAGCTCACGATTATATCGTCTGATGCTTTGTGAGAATTTTTCATGAATCTCAGTTGTCCAAATTTACAATTGGCTCTCCCACTCGACTGGTCTCAGGATTTTAGTGAACTGACCTCGCAGACCAAGCACTGTGCTCGCAGAGCCTCATTCAATTCGTCATCATGCGTGTTCACGATGCTATGAAAAGCGAAGAGGCCAACGATGCCGCCTGGGAAGCAGCCAGAGGAGGCGTTGCAGGTGCTGTCAAGTGGGGAATTGGTGCAGCGGTACTGGGTGCTGCTGGATACCTCTGGTCGCCGCTATATCGATCCATGACGGTCCAATTCAAAGTGTAGGGTCAAATCCTGCGCTTCACAACTACCTTACACTAACCGCTTCAAGATATCTACAAATGTGTGGCATGGTGCCAGGAGCTATGATTGAGGCCGACTCACGACTCAGAGCTTATGAGCAGCGTGTGAGAATGGAGAGGAGATTAATGGGCGATAGGGCTAAGTGGGAACGTTATGAAGAGGAATACCTCAAGGGTTCTGGCAAGTAAGCACCTTACCAGGAGACAAAATGACAGGAAACAAAGCATCTATGAATGTCTCACTGGAGAGTTTAACTACAACTGCTAGGGGTATAACGGCGTACATATGTCATATTAACGATGACCGTTAAGTGGTCTATGTAAAATCGCATTTCTTTATATCTTTTCCCTTACTTGCTCAGACAATTACCAACTCCAACGCCTGTAACCATGCCGACTCGTTCTTAGATCTTAAACCCGAAAGCGGTTGGGATCCATGTTGATCTTGCATAAGCGAACAACGCACCCACTGAGCTGAAGCAATGTCTGCACGCCTTCGAGGACCTTCATATGTGTGAAGCCGATCTCCTTGATAAACTCCAGCTTTGAATGCTCGCTCAGGGTGGGGATAGTCTTCGTGACCTTGAACATAGTGCTAATGATATCGTGGCTCGAATAACCCAGGTCCCAAAGCTCTCGAAGTGTATCAAGTGCAGAGTCAACATTGCCTTCGTAGCAAGCCTTCAGCATCGCCTGCACCTTGATCGGGTGAGGCGAGTCGACAACCTTGAAGACGTTGTCTCCTGAAACAAAGCCAAAACCAGCAAACGTAGACTGAAGGTTGTTGATGGCTTGTCGCATATCTCCCTCGGCACTGAAAACCAGTGCAGCCAAACCGTCGTCACTGTATTCGACCTTTTCAGCCTCAATGATTTGCATTAGTCGTTTCACGACCTGGGCGTCCGTCAACTTGGCGTATCGTAGGATGGCGCATCGCGATTGTAGAGGCTCGATAATCTTGTTGGACTGGTTGCAGGCGAAAGCGAATCGTGTCGTGTTCGAGTAAATCTCCATAGTTCGTCGGAGGGCTTGTTGAGCACCCGATGTCATGCTATCGGCTTCGTCGAGGATGACGAGTTTATGGCGGCCAGCGGGGAGAGTGACTTTCTTTTGGGCAAAACCCTTGATTCGGTTTCGGACGACATCGATACCTAAACTTGTAAGTTTCTTGATCCAACAAATCGTTTCCGTTGTATTTACCTCGCTCGTCACTGGCATTGAGTTCCAGGACCGCCTCCTTGTACGATTCACCCAATAGTTGCCGTGCCAGACAGAGAACACTGGTGGTTTTTCCAATACCTGGCATACCCGAGATGATGACATGCGGCATGTTTCCTTCTCTAGCGATGATCTTTAGTCGCTCGACTGTTTCTGTGTTGCCGACAACATCGTCGAGAAAGACTGGTCGGTACTTTTCCACCCTGGCAACCAGCAGTGAGCGATAGTCTTAACGGAGGTAAAGAGAAACAAGCATACATACCATGGAAGTTCGTAATTTGGGGCGCCATTACTAGAAGCCGCAAGAGCTGCCTTTGTGACAGAGTTTGAGGACTCGCCACGTTCTTCAGGTTTTTGGGAAGGCATTTTAGGAGGTATTTGGTGGAATTGTTGGTGATGAAGCTGAAGCCTAAGAAACCAAACTACCAATGTCAATCAATCACTTTACGCGACTCAGAGAAATGAGACGCGTCGAGCAGCAGCAGGTAGACATGGTCCGTGCATCAACAGCAACTGCCCCACTTCTGACACCGCCTTCACCTTTTGGATGGCAAAATCTTGTCAGTGCGATAACTTTTTTGAGTCTGCCAAAGAGCAAAGAGATACCCTCCAATTTTCAAAGATACCCCCTCAACCCACGACTTCTCGACGTTCCGCGACAGAAAAATCGCCAGCAAACAACGCAGATACCTGCGACTCGACTTATCAGATCCTACCGATTAAAGACCAGCCATGGGTGTCCAGAAAAAGACTCGCAAATTCGCTGCAGTGCGTCTTATCGATAAGCGGCGCAAAAGTTGCCCAAATTTCAATATGCTAACGTTCAAGTGCAGGTGAAGCGAGTTCTCGGTAGTCGCGATGCTAGGTTGAAGGAAAACAAGGTCAAGGCTGAGCTGGCCCAGAAGGAGAAGGAAAAGAAGACCATCAATGGCGAACTTATCCGAGAAGCGCCCCAGATGCCCAGCAACATGTTCTTCCAGCACAACACAGCTCTCGTCCCGCCTTACAACGTTCTCGTTGATACCAACTTCCTCAGTCACTCTGTTCAGCGAAAGCTCTCTCTTCTCGACTCCATGATGGACTGCCTCTACGCAAAGTGTAACCCTATCATCACATCTTGTGTCATGGCTGGTACGTTATTTTTATCTTCAGTGTTGCGAATTCTTTACTGACATGTATCCGATAGAGTTGGAAAAGCTGGGACCCAAGTATCGACTGGCATTGAGAGTTGCGCGAGACGAGCGATGGACACGACTCGAGTGCGACCACAAGGGCGTTTATGCAGATGACTGCTTGGTGGACCGAGTGCAGAAGAACAGGATCTACATTGTGGGCACAAACGATAAGGCGCTCAAGCAACGGCTACGCAAGATTCCTGGTGTGCCCATCATGAGTGTGGCGCGTGCCAAGTACGTGATAGAGAGACTGCCAGGTGCACCGGATTCATAGAGGAGTTTCTGTTTTGTTATTTGGGAATGGAAAATTGCATTTACGAGTTACGATGCGTTGTACATTGTTCCTGTCGACTTCATTACATGACCTGGCATTTGTCGCATGTGGTTCTAGGGTAGATCACGGTGGCAGTTGAGGGAGTTACTAATCAAGCATCAACTATTAAACCACGCAAATAAAAAACAGTATCTGATAGCACCGTGATATACTAAATATTTTTCATTTCTTTAAAGCAGAAAACTGCAACCAAATCTGATTCGAGAGTGGCTGTTGAACCGACTGTAGCAGGAATACTCGCAGGCTATTTGATGACCTGTGATTGGGTACTGATCCATGATTCGATAACTGATGAATTCCGTCTTACATCCAGGCACATTCATTCGTCATCCCATGTTCAGTCCGCGTTAAGAAATAGGAAGTTCAAACAAAGACTATACCACACTCGTCATTTTGTAATTCTCAACCAGAGTACTCACAATATAACGCAAGGCATCGCCATCATCCGTCATGGATTTAGAATCCAGCCCAAATGACAACGAACAGTCATCGACGTCTGAAGCTCGTCAAAAACGCACTCGGGTTCTCCTTTCATGTGCTCCCTGTCGCAACTCAAAGCTGAAATGTGACAGAGAACAACCATGCAGCCAGTGCGACAAGAAAGGTCGCGCCTCGCAGTGCGCTTATGCTCCCAAGCCCGAGAGGAAGCGACCGGCCAAAGGCATGTCAGCGAGACTAAAGCGGCTTGAGGGTATGGTACGGGAGATGATGGACTCTGAGAGTGCAGTACAGACGACAGGGTCAAATCCAGGAAATAACTCACAAGCCGCCAATGGAGTTACTGGACCTGAGGTACAAGGTCATGTGGTGAAAGGTGACAAGACGACGACATATGTCGGCGCAACACATTGTATGGCAATGTTGGAAGATGTGAGTCTTCTCTAAAGATCTGGAATATCATGATTTTGTACTGACAGTAACACAGATCGAAGATCTGAAGAGTTACTTTGATCAACCCGAAGACACGGAAGAAGATCAAATACTGGCTGATGAGATAGACCCTACGGAGCTCATGTTAAACACAAGAGCAGGTCCAAGGAACCGAGAGGAGCTACTAAGTCGATTACCAGATCGCAAAGTGGCGGACAGACTCCTCTCACGGTATTTTGCCTCGATGAGTCCCTCGCAACGTAAGTGCCCACCTGTAAAGCTTCTATAACGCGATTGCCAACAGAAACTAGATATTATTCATCGACCGACTTTCACCAGGCAATATACCAAGTTCTGGCAAGACCCGGAGGGTACTTCACTACACTGGATAGCGCAGTTGTTCATGATGTTAAGTCTTGGTGTCTTTTTCAACAACTTTATCAACTCCAGTGAACTACAAGGCGACTCTCCCCTCCCAGCAACAGACAGGATTCGTCATTATAAAGCCTGTGCTGGATGGGCTCTAGTCTGGGGCAAATATACGCAACCTTCTTCAGCAACTTTGCCCGCCTTTTTACTTTACGTCGAGTCGCACTTCCTTTTTAACCGAGCAGCTCAGATGAATTGCTACGTACTCTCAGGCGTGTGTATCCGCCTGATGCTCAAGATGGGTCTTCATAGAGATCCGAGCAAGTTGGCTAACATTTCGCCTTTTGAAGGTGAAATGAGGCGACGCATGTGGAATATGGCTATTCAAGTCGAGCTGCTGGTGTCCTTCCACATGGGTCTTCCCAGTATGCTTCAGGGTATCGAAACCGATACTTCAGTGCCAGGAAACTTGCAAGACGAAGACTTCGATGAGGATTCAACCGAATTACCCTTGGGCCGACCCTTGACAGACTGGACGTCGATGACATACCCCATCCACAAGACAAAAATTCTGCGAGTCTTTGGGCAGATCGCACGACAAGCTCATGCGTTAACACCACCAAGTTATGCCGAGGTAATGAAGCTTGATAATCTACTGCAAGAGACTTGGCGAGAAGTTCCAGCTTTTATGATGATCCGTTCCCTTGATGAGTGTGTTGGTGATCCACCAGTGTTACTTATTCAAAGATTCGGGTTGACTGCTATTTACAACAAGTGCTGCTGTGTCCTGCACCGACGCTATCTTGCAGAGGCAGTCCCACAGCGCGAGCATGACTATTCCCGCAGAAGATGTCTCGAAAGTGCGCTATCACTACTCAATTATCAAAGTGTGATATGGGAAGCTTGCAAACCAGGGCATGTTTTAAGCCAGCACGGCTGGTTTGTCTCATCTCTTGCAGTACATGACTTTTTACTGGCTGCTATGGTGATATACCTCGTTATCAAGAACGAAAACTACTCAGATGCGGGAAGTGAACACGACTGGATCTCGCAGACGACACCAGCGCCTACAAAGGATGATCTCATCGGTATGATCAAGCGATCCCATTCTATCTGGTCCGACGTTGCACAAGACGTGGCCGAGGTAAAGAAGACAGCAGATACACTGGCGACCATGCTAGCTAAGCTGGGGGTTCCAGTTGGACAGCCGGCAAATGGTTCCGAGCAAGGGATGCCTAGTGTTGGTGTTGAGAATGATACTTCGTCACTGGGAGCGCCCTCGGTAGATCCCAGCACCATGGGGTCGATCGGAGCCGATCCAGGCCTTCTATCATCTCTGGGCCTGGGTATGAGTTTACGCAAACAAGTAACGTATAGCACATATGCTGACATCGGAGCAGGTACATTAACGGGATCTACATCTGGACAGACACCCCTGGATCTGGGCCTAACAGGAGACGCAGGAACTAGCATGAGCTTCCCGAATATGGGGACGGAGGGGCTTGACTTCGATCCTGCTTGGATGGATACTGCAGCTAGCAACATGGATTGGGTAAGTTGCCGCGCCCAAGAGGTATCGTGAAGCATGAGGCTCAAGCTAACGACATGACAGCGTTATCTCGACATATCACTTGCTCATAGTCACGATGCAGGACGAAATGAGGACACGGGCCAGACATGGATAGAGAGGGCTCCGCCTTTGGAACAGATGGACATCATGGGATCAGGAAATTGGATGCCCAGCAACCCTGGGTCCAGTTGAGGTCGCTTAATTCAGGAGACAGACGGCCTGTAAATAGAGATACGGATCTTACTTAATTCGATTATGTTGAACTAAAGATACGGCTAGGGGAGCTAGTATAGCTCCCAGTCAAATGTTGGGGAAGGTCCAAGTAAGATAAGGATGCCGATGGTTGAGACAAGCCGTTTTCGGGATGGGAATGTCACCGCCTCCTAGACAATTAAAGGGTGGTGTGGCTCTCGAGCCATCCAGCCTATGCAGAAACACACGGACAAACATCCCGAGCTAGGTCCGTTATCTGGGGAAAGAAGATCCGGGGAACTAGTTTGCAAATCCCCGCAAAGCGCTACGATGTGAGGAAGCTCCTCCAATATCAGTGCCTCTGTATAGTGTTGATGAGCCGAGGTTTGATTGAGGGGGTCAACGAGCATCATCCATGCTCGAGATTCTGGAGAGTTGCCACGGACTTTGGCCAGATTCGGCCATAATGAAGAGATAACCAACAATGTTTGATCTCTATTGCGACAACAATCACCAAGATCGCGAAATGGCTGACGTGCCTGGCATGCTCCTTTGGGGTGCGATAAGAGCTCCGATACACGATATGATAGCCATCGAACTCAATCCAGACCAGGCAATACCTACATGCTTGCAGGGATATATGACGTCGATCCGGGGAATTGGCTGAGAATATTAGTGGACTCAGCCTCCGCGGAGATGCTGATTCCAAGTGTGGCGTCGGAATGCCATCCGCTTATTCTGGGCACACAGCATAAAAACTTGCACAACACCATGCTATCGGCGCGGAACACCAGCCGACGTATCCTGTACAGTACTGTTGCTTCCAACGAGTGAACAAGGACGAATGCATTCATGGTTATCATTTTCCAGTGTAATTTCTGTTCAGGCGTAACATTCTTTGACGAGGTCTTGTGACCGGCTGCATTGATAGACCGCCAATTCTCAATTTGAAGCTTCTAGAACATTGCCATGGTTCTAGAGCCCCGGCCAATCACTCCGTGCAATGAACAGGTGACCGGGCAGAGCGATCCCTGGACCGGTTACTGTGTAACCCTTGAACGACACTCCCGCATGTAAGTTTGGTACATCAATATGACTTCAAGGTTGTACAGAACAATATTCACGATTGTTGTAGTGTTCTGGGACTCTGACCATTAACGAATCTCTCTTCATTCAAGAATGAGTCGACTTTGTCATTATAAATTTGTGGCAATGGTTATGTTAGATTCGGTAAAAATACCCGAAGGAATTGTGTAAGACAATATGATTCTGTCGCACGTCAAATATCAACTGCAGTGTCGACTGCACACAAGATTAGCGGCCCGATAATAGGAAGTCTATCCGCCACGATGGATTGATCAGAGCATCTGCGTATGTATAGGTAGGATAGTATCGGCTCGTCTCGCTCCAGCCTCTTCGTTTTCGAGTCTGGTGACTAAATAGCAAGGGAATGGCTCCATATTCATAGCCATCCCACGAAGACATCGTTATCAGTGCCAGTATCAGTTGCACGAACAAATAGGCAGCCCTAAAGGCTTGGACGTGGTGTCAAGTCGATGAGAAATGGATTCGGGGTAAAATTTTTTGACTGGAGAGTTCGTGGTTAATTTTACCTAATTTGAACGCTATTTCGGCACTTCTTCGAACTCGCCTCCACTCTATCGTGGGCAGCTTTTGCAGGCTGCCAGGGTCAACTGCCACCAAATCTCGCTGCCGGCCAGTTGGGTCTGGTCTCCGTCTCCAGCTTGAAGGATACCAAGACCATGAACCTGGACCTGAACCCGAACCTGGTAGCATGGGCTCAAGGCTAGCAGCGGGAGCGTACCTTCCTCAGGTCGGATCTCTCCCGCGAGGAAGCGATGATCCCCTCGTGTCTTGTTTGGAGAGTCGAATTTGTTTCTCGGTCTCTTAGTGTCGGTACGCGTTCCTTTGCTGGCTCGTACGCCCGTAGCGGCTGTGGTACCTGCTAGGACTGGTTAACGGTCGAATAAGGTTGATCGCGGGCAGAGCCTCAGGGTATTAATAGTCTTGGCAAATGGTAAAGTTTTGGTCAGTATTTTCAGTGGCTGAGGACGATGGTGATAGAATCAAGTTGGAGTGGAACAATGACGACAAGTTCTGAGTTTGTTGTGGTCAACTGATTAGATAGATAGGCGTGACTACCTGTCCAAAAGTAAAAAACAACTTCCTTTTACAGATGTTTTGGTTGGATGGATAACTAAGCACCGTACCTGCCTTCCATGTCTTATCAAGGTTTGGCAGAGTGAGGCTGAGGAAGGAGGTACGTAGGTAGCTGTCGCTGATAACAACTTTTAACACGGCACCCTGTATAAATTCTGCTTCAGTCACCAGACTTGACCTTTCCTTCTCTCCGGCGAACCGAAGTGATGCTTTCATATTACATTACATTACATTGCGCCCAATCTTGACATGTACCCCGCATCAGGTCAAGTAAAGGCAAAGCAAGCAAGATCAGGTGAGGCATTGTACTGTATGTAGGTACATGAGACATCCATGGGACATTATACATCGGTTTCCTTCTCCGAGGCTTCTCAAGGTGATGAAGTGGGGAGGAGAACGCGGGACAATACAGTAGCATCGCGCCATTCGTACCAATCGTGGGGGAATCACTACGCCGCAGGGACAGAAGGGTTGATGGCCTTCTCTCATCAGTCTCACTACCGTATTGATATCTATTCTGCTGCTACCTGCGCCGCATACCTACGATGAGGGGTTGATTTAGTAAAAGAAAAGGTACTAGGTTGATATAACGGACCGGCCGTGGTCTTGTGATGGAAAATAGAAGTGAGCTAGCAGACCATAATAGACAGGGTCTAAAAGGAGAAACAAAATTGCACCCTAATACCAAGTTAACTTATCTATCGCCTGTTAGTGAATGCCGGTGGGATAGAATTGTTTGATGTAATCGAGTAAAAGCTATGTAATGGGAACAAGGTCGGCGCCTATTGGCGAATGAGAGGAGACCGGATCCCCGTCTTTTCTTGTACATTACTTTGTGTGTGCCTGGACTGCAACGACATGAATGACATGGGTGGCATTATTCCCCAAGAAATAATTTGATGACTGATTGACGACCGACACCCTCAGGGTCGATGTCAATCTGACACTTCCAAGTTAACTGACTGACGACACAAGCTGTGTTTTTTTGTGCTGCTCTGCATGCAAGACCTGCCAAGATGTTACCCAGATCGGCCGCTCACGAGTCGAGTCCCCTACTTCTGATATGCAGGGAAATATTAACGTTGACCTCATGGCTGAACGAGGCACGCTAAATAAGCTTCCTTGTCACTTGACCCCGAGACAGCGACAAGACCTTCAGACAATTCTAGGCGATAAGAGATCGCCGATTCAGAGACAAGTTTGAGCTACCGCTGGGGCCTGATTGGCCACCCCCGGACTTTTTCTTCTTTAATCTTTGCCAGGTTCGGCCTGAGAGGGTCCCTGGTTTTTTTTTTTCTGCTCCAAAATCTTGTCAACTGAGTTAGTCCCCAATCAGAGAAACCAAATTGAGGCCCTCAATGAAATTGGCGGATAAGCAAACAAGATGCCGAGGAAGAATCGAGTGTGTAGGTTGCGTCTACTTTGCCCTCCAACCACTAACGACATTAAGGAGGTAGCCCAGGCTTTGGGGGTGCTGAATTGCCCATCCATGAACCTGTATGTAAGCCCAGGTTGATAGCGATAACTGTGGAAGGAGGCTCATGCTCGCTCATACCACGAGCAACCATTTTTTGCCCCGATTGGTCCAAGCTTCCACCAAAGACCGATCTTCTAGGCTCTAGCACTACCTAGTACCTATCCTTATCCACCTTGACGGCTCCAGAAGCTTTTTCCAGCCCAGTTTTGATTTTTTTTCTCCCTCTTTTCCTGCTGTATTACGCGATTTGTATTGGCTCGAGCTATCAGATTGGGTGGTGAGTTAACGTAACGCTTCCTGGTTTCCCGGAAATCATTATTCCCATCGTCAATGGCAGTGGCACGAGGGTAAGGTAACTTTGTAACTTGTAGATGGGACCGAAGAGGAATCAATGCAGGGGCGTCTGTAGCCATCATCACCTGGGGTCGAAAACGACAACACAGCATACAGCACACAGCACACAACACAACAAGACAGCAACACTCTTTCTTTATCTTTCGTTAGCTACCCTGTCTTGTCTCATCTTTAGTAGGAAGATCTGCTTGATGAATGCTAAAAGAACGGTCAGGAATTTGATCCCGTTTCATCCGGAAAGGTACATTACATGTACTGATAAGACTAGAAACCCGGACTGGTTCCGTCTGAGCTAGTTCGTTGAGAAACAAGACAGGTGACTCGCTGACCGAAATCCTCATGGACAAAAAAGGCAACTGTTAATGTACCCCTTGTATGAGACGATACATCTGTCTTGGCTATAGGTGTCGCACAATCATACCATCAACAAAGGTACCAAAGGCCTGTCCAGGTACTTATGTAGTGTCGTCGAATTAAACATGGCGTTTTCTCTACCGCGAATTCTCTTATCAGTCGGTCGAGTCGGTCTTCCTCGCCGGTACCCGGCCGGGTGTGATGTGGTACGGTACGGATACAGTACAAGAAATGGCCACTTTAGTTTCCCATTGTGACGATGTATCCATTTGTCGTTATCTTGCTTTCCCTTCTTCGGCTTCCCCTCATTCTCACGATCTTAATATTGTTCTGGCCAAGCAAGCGAGTATCAGCCATCCCCAGTTTCCACCCGCAATCTTCTGCCATGTTCCCCATTTCCCCATTCTTTCCATAATGTTCTACTGCGCTTCTGTAAGGTTATGTACGCAAAGTAAATCTTCAGCCCTGATGCACTTGTTCATTAAAGATCCGAGTGTCGTCGTTATGCCCTACCAAATCAGGAAATCTCAACCTATGAATCAGGTCTTTTGGAGTCATTGATAACGAGTTGGAGGGCGTCTTCTAATTGGCTGCCTTATCCTGTTTAGGTCACACACAGACAATTGATCGTGGCAGGTACGGTTACGGAGCACTTTCCATTGCGCCAGGCCTGAACAAACAGCGGGCAAGAGCAGAGGACAGACCAAAGTAGCTTGTCCAGACATACATGAAAAGAAGAAAATCAGCCCAGGCCCCTCATTTCCAAGATCGTTCTTGCCCAATTCTGTTGTGCTTTTGGGGCTACTTGCACCTCTTTCTCTTGGCAGCTTCTCCCTCTCAGGTGGCTCAAAGAAAATTCGGGACTTGGTTAAGGATGTCATAAAGATTACGATGGTCTACTCTGGGCTTTAGTGAGTAAACATGCCTAAGTAATTTTGTCATAGGCTTCTGTGCCCTGGTTATTTTCGGGACCGCCTTGCCTCTACACTCAAACCGGACTTGAACCTCTATGGGCTTCATCGACGCCATCACATTTGGCCCCAGATCGAACCCACGAGGACCCTCGTTCGTGTGTACAGTAGCGCAGCGCATCTACAGGCGAGTGATACCCACTACTGGCAGTGAGTTTCAAACACTTGGCGCTATCTCTACACCTTATTCTCTCGCACACCCCTCCCCACTATCAAGCCCGTACCGCACGCCATAAACCGACACCACCCATTCATTCAATCATTCATTACCATCCATATAGGTACCTACCTACCTTGTCTTGCCTTGGATACATTACCTTACAAAGGTTTAGATTCTTCTTCTTTCGTGCGTTGCTACACACACCGACCGGCTTCGACTGCAACTACAACCTATCTTATACTTGCGTAGAGCCCAGCTCTTTCCAAGTGATTCTGCTCCTATTCGCGAACCCTTTCTTGCAGGAGATCGACCTGACCTTGACCGGTGCTACGGAACCCCTACATTACAGCTGCAAGTCGACTCTTTCTCTCAGCTCTTCTCAACTCTACAGTACAATTCTCTCTGCTCGATTCCGTCATTTCAATTGTCAGCTTCAGCTTTTCGGACTTCGAACCTCTCTTGCTGCCTCCTACAGGACCCTGAAATCAATCAGCGCTAGGACTATTCGAAAACGAGACCAAAGCCAGCCAATTCTTCAAATCCACCTTCACCCACAATCGCACCGCACATTGCATTGGTTTGGGGCCAGGGCTGGGTTCTCTGTTGGATCGGACTGGATTGAATTCTCATTACCCTTACCTTACCTATTTAAATCCACCTACGAACTGGGGCGCACACGCTGAGCGCAAGTCAAGTCAAGTCAAGCCTGGCGCAACGCCGTGACGGAGCATCGTGACCTCTTTTTCTTTTCTTTTACTGGGGTTTACTCTCAACTAGTCAAGACTCTGGTTGATTGAAATTCTGTTATATTTTCCTCCCCCTCTTTCTCTTTTGGTTGAATTTCTCACGATCTTCTTCCTCTTTCTTCCTCCCCTTCTCTACTGTACCTTCAGACAGATCAACAATCCCATCTGACTGTCTGTCTGTATTGGTTGCCCTCTGCTCCACCACCATACATTGAGTTCTGTGTACACACTCTTTCTACTGTTGGCCCTGTCCACCTACCTGCACCTAAAGCTTTTCCTTGGTGGTCATACCTATATTGCCTCCTCTACCCGGCATTCCGAGGACCAGCCCGACATAATACCGTACCGGCTTTGACTTGGCTCTGATCCGTACCGGCTAATAAAGGCCCTTCTGCCATCTCCGCCCCGTCTCCGGTGGCTGCTCCCTCCCGATCGCGAAAGTGATCTTTTCTTTCCCACTCAACACACACAGAGCGCAAGCACTGCAATAGCATGCCCGCTCAACTAAACGGGTCCATGACTGCCAGCATCCCCATCCGAATACCCGGCGACCAGCCTCAACCTCAACATCAACCTCAAACTGGTGTTTTTTACAAGCAGCATAAGCACTCAAGATCGTCTTACTCCGATTCTTCTCCGCTTGCAAATTCCAGAAATAACTCTCTAACCTTCCGTCCTTATAAGAGGCTCATGTCAAACCCCGACAAGACAATCGCTGTCATCAACGCCAGCGGGCGACAGGCTGCGTCTTTCATTCGCGTCGCCACTGCCGTTGGTTACCATGTTCGCGCTCAGCTGAGAAATCTCGACGGCGTGATCGCTACTGAAGTCTCCGAGAATCCTAATGTGACCGTTCTTGTTGGTGAGCTGTATACGAGACACCAGCCCTCAGAAGCAAATCGCGATGTCACCAAGCATGGCCCTCTGACTGGTGTTGGTGTCAACTATGACCTGATCGCAAATCTTTTCCGCGGTGCTCAACTCGCCTTCATTAATACAACCTTTTACGGCGACGAGATTCAGATTGGAAAAGCCCTCGCCGATGCCGCCAAGCGCGCAGGTATTCAACACTACGTCTACTCATCCATGCCCGATCATGCTGCTTATGACACCAAATGGCCCTCGTTGCCTCTTTGGGCCGCCAAGCATGAAGTTGAGCAGTATGTGCGCAAGCTGAGAATGCCCGCCACCTTTGTTTATACTGGCATCTACAACAACAATTTCACCTCTCTCCAGTACCCTCTCTTCTGTATGGAACTGCAAAAGGATGGCTCTTTCAGATGGCAAGCACCTTTCCACCCTGATGCAAAGCTTCCTTGGTTAGACGCCGAGCACGATGTTGGTCCTGCAGTTCTCCAGATTTTCAAAGATGGTCCCAGCAAGTGGAATGGAGAGCGTATCGCACTAGCATACGAGTATTTGACCCCCAAGGAAGTGTGCCGTCTTTTCTCCAAAGGAGTTGGTCGACCTGTGCGCTATGTGCACGGTCCCATCGAGGTCAAGGTCCGCATCCCCGAGGGCTATCGGGAACAGCTCGTCGCTTTGGAGCAACTCTATGACCCCAATCGAAAGGATCCCCGAAAGCAACCACCCTACTTTGGAGACCCCAAGGTTGAGCTTAGCTGCCCGAGTGAAGCTCTGGAGCTATGGGAGGGCCCTCGAGGCATCGAAGAGTACGCCAGAGAAATGTTTCCCATAGAAGAGGAAGCCAACGGCCTCACATGGATGCTGGAAGATGATTCGAGCGACGACGACGAGGAGGTGCATCATGCAGCACACTCCGTTGAGCAACTGAGAATCCAAGATGGAGACGATGATAGCGACGACGATAATGACGATGGTCTTGTGATAAAAGGTCGCAAGCGGGACGAAGAGGAGTGGTTAGCATAATGAGGCAGCCCAATATTTGGGTGCCCACGGCGTCCTGGATCTTTTGATGAAAAAGTATGACACAAAAAGAAAGCAAGGAAAGGTGTTCGAAAAGAAGAACAGAAAAAAAGGGACCAATCTCTAGTCTGATCTAGATATCCAATGAGCCCTGAGACAGACCGTGGAGTCGGACCTGGTGGGTATTGCATTTAGGCGGGAGTTGTGCTTTAATAGGTTGTTGGGGTCCAAAGGTAGTTGCGAATTCTCTCTCAAAAGGCGTTCCTAAGGGGTTGGCTAGGAACCTAAACGACTGTATCATGACCTGGTCAATGGATGACCGAAAAATAACGATTTACTACCAGCACGTTTTTCTCGCGCTATGCATGTGATGTATCCGGTTTCTTTGTAGGTCACGACCATTCGAATGGATGACTAGCACTTGTTGGTGTACATCTTGGTCTGTAGATAGATCTGACATCTAGAATAACAGTCGTACAGAAGGGCCATTTGACCATCGCGTTTAAGGGTTGGGGAACTTTCTTGGCTGTGCGTATGTGTTGGCATGTCATGTCCATTGCTAACAATGTATCAACGGTTGACTTGTATAGGGGCTCTGGCAATACATAACATATTGAAAGATGGACTGGTAGAAAACAGATGTTGGTGGTAGCGATGGGTAGAATAAGAGTGATGCTGTTCTTATATTAGTGGGAGCCAGGGGCTCTATTAATAAACATAACTCTTCATGCCACTGCATTTACCTGCCCCTTACATCAGTCAAGAGTACAATGTTCTGACTGGTTTGTAATACCAAGGTTTAACTGTAATATATCATGTCACCACCATTGACTGCCCCCGCGTCGACCCTCCTTGTTCTTGATCATGGTTCCCATGTTAATGAGCGTGGGGTAGTCTAAGAGCCTCTTTCACGCCATGTCAACTGTAACTGTCCTCGTACTCAAGTATATGCACTCAAATAGTTTAGACAGTAAGGTTAGCATATATCTCATGCCGTCGAAAGCAAAATAATTAACCAAGACTCTGAAATGACCAGCTTGCCAAGTATCTCTCCGCAACCAAGTTAAACGCCGCTGCGTGGGGGTAAAGTCTGGGGTGACAAGGGGAGGCATCTCCGTTATCTGGGCAGTTGTCGAGAGATTGGCCAAGTCAGGGGCTTTATCTCTGATACCTCTTATCTTCCCCGGACTCTGCACCCCGGATTAAGCAGCTAGTTAACGATATTGCTTAGTGTGGGGGATCAGAACGAACTTGAGCAATAACAGGGGGATGATCAAAGGGCTTTGGGAGACAAACAGTTAGCATAGTTCTCTCACAATATCAAGATTAGAGCTCAGCAAGTCTCCTACAGCAGTCGAACGAGCAGGACCCATTACAACCGATTCCGATAACAATGGCGTTAGTGCAACTGGTCACGGAGACATGTTTTGCCACTCGGTCGGTCGACAACAAGAAGACAATATCGAAGAGCGCTGGAAGGTTGAGTGATTTGATCATGAAAGACCTTAGAATCCAGGGTTTAGGTTCCAAACTCCAAGCTCCTCGACATAAATAAAAACATATATATCCGTAGTGGTAGGAGCGGGAGAAAGACAAGCTTCTTCGATACAGGCAGTATGCAGAAGAAGAAGTAACAACAGAAACTGTCCAGGACAATCGATCCCAAAAACAAGAAGGATAATCGAATCGATCCGACAAATCTCAAACTCCCTTGCATCCTGCTATATATCATTACTACGTTACATGGACTTCAGAAGCAATGAGGATTATGATAGCTAGTAGCTTTCAAAAGCCTTCTGAAGAAAACACTAATCACATGGCCTCTTGCTAGGTTTTAAGCAGTCGATATCAATTTTTCATCTACAGCATGGAACAGTGACATATATCAGCTTAAAGCCCAATATGCTGGTTCATAAGGACGGCTTGAAAAACATGGCCAAGATAACATTTTACGATGAAACATGTCTGCAGTCTCTTCTATCTCTTGCCTGGCGATGCTCCAAGAATGATGGTTCCTGAGCCAAAGCTAGGTGCGCGCACATAGTTCAAGATCATGCATATAGAACACTCGTAACTTGGCAACACATGGTGAACATCACAAGCAACGGAAAATAAAAGGTGCGTAGGGTGGCTTTAAACGCCGGATATGTATATGCTTGTTGAATCATTCCCTTATACCATGCCATGCCTCTGGAAACAAAATCTAAATCATGCTACCCCTTGCCCGAAAACAGACCAGGAGGCAGGTACTCAAAATCAGAGCTGTTAAAACAGTTATATACCTCCTCCTCTCCCAGATTCTTCCATCCAATTTTAGTATTATGTATACTCAAGGTGGAAATGCCATCATCATTAACCACGATCTTTTGCTTCCTCCCTTTCTCAATTATGCATCTTGATCCCACGGTGTCGAGCTTCTACTAATCAACTCGCTCTGCAGTCTGTCGTTCTGATCTCTGAACCACGTCGCACCTTCTTCCATCTCCTCTCTCATAGCGCGGAGCTCGTTGATAAGGTTTTGCGCGTCGCTCATAACCCGCTTATGCGAGCTGGATTTAGCCTGACGTTCTTGAGTCGCCTCACCATCATCTTCAGTCGCACGCTTTCTCTTGTTTTTGGTAGTGGCGCTGTCGGACTCGCTTGTGTCGATGTTTTCATGTGAGGTAGAAATACGCTGTCGTGCTTCAGAGCGCGTGAAATCACCCCCGGAGGCTCTGCGAATAGGATAGCTACTAGGCGGGCCCATCGTACTGCTTACGAGTCTTCTCTTGCCAGGTTGCATCTCATGCGCCATTGATTCGGGCACAGCCGTACCGTCAGGTAATTGGACAATGCCCATAGCTTTGAGACGCCAGCGTTCGGAGACCCTACTGACACGAGTGCTGGGCTCAGGGCTTGAGGTTTTTCGAGAGATCATGGGAGGCAGTGAGCGTCTGAAAGTGGCGGGTTGGTCGCTCGCGAACTGTTGTCGAAGTGCTCTGGTCTTTGAACCACCTCTTGAGGTGGATGTGCTCGATTGCTTGCTGGAAGCGGTGCTGGCAATAGACGGCGCCCTACGTACGATCTTGGTAACAGCCTCTTGTTCGTTGTTGATTCCGGATAAGACACCGGAAGCAAGTAGCGCGTCCTCTTCTTCTGCTTGGCGACGTTTACTGGGCTTTTTATGCTTGAGGAAGTCCTTCAACTCCTCCGGTCGGTTCAATTCCGCAATCTCGGCCTGTTCACGAGCCGCTCGGCGAGCAGCATCTTTCTGGGCCTTGGCCTGCATCGCACGTTGTTCTTCGTAGTAAGCCCTCATTTGTTCTCGACCACTTCGACGAAGTCGGCTCAAGCGTCGATCGCGTGCAATTTCCTTCCAGCGGTAGAAGTACTTGACTGATAGGCTATAAGTACGGAATTTCCTTGCCTCTGCTAGGGCTTGTTCTTCCTCCTCTTTCTTTCTCTTTGCTTCTTCATCTTGAACATATTTTCGATATACACCTTGAAGAATATTATCTAGCATAAATGCTTGAAACTCATCCATGAGTCCCTGATCACCCATTACAAACCACTTAGTGAAGTCACCTAGGAGGTCACGAGGTGGCGCTGGAGATGCTGGGACGGGAGTTGGCTCTTTAGGTGGCTGGCTGGCCGTAAGAGCTGTCGAAGGTTGAGAAACATCGCTGCTCTTGGGTGGTGCTGGGAAGGCTGGCGTTCCGATAGGAGGGAACGAGAATTGAGGTGTTGGTGTGGCTGAGGGCTGCGAGCCAAGAATGCTTGTTGCTGGCTTAGACTTCTCCAGCCCAGGCCCTGTTGTAGGTGCTTGTGGTACGCTGTTATTGGCGCTCGATGGAAATGGCTGTGGCGGTTGCGTTGTAGTATTAAAGGGGTTCGTTGATAGTGTTGGAGTTGGAGGTATGAAATTGATAGTAGGTCCCTTTGTTGAGTCTGCTGTTGTGGCTGCCGGGGCTTGGATCTGGGGTTTGTCTGCTGGTTCGCTTTTACTATCACTAGAGGCAGTAGAGGCAATTTCGGTTGCGGGGGGTGCAGTTGTCGCTGGCGGGAAGGAAAATGCCGGTTTTGTCGAGGGCCCGTTGTCTGTCTTTGCAGGTGCAAAAGGCTGACTGAACGGGCTATTGAAGGGGCTGCCTTTTGCTGGAGCATCCGAAGTAGTCGACGGTTTATACGAAGAGGCAAATGGATTCAAAGGTTGGGCTGTTCCGGAAGTCTGTGGCTGCTGAGAACTGGTATCTGTCTTGGTGCTAGTATTGCTGGTCTGTAATGGCGTCGACGTAGAATCAGCCGGCCCAAATGGGTTGGAAGCAGGTTGTTTGGCCGCGGAGGCCAGACCTGAAGCGAAAGGATTTTGCTGCGGTTTCGGTTGTTGCACAGCAAAGCCGTTGGTTTGCGTGGTTCCGTTGAATGTAGTCCCTAAGCGAATACAAACGTCAGAACCAGTGGTTGAGGCGTGTCATTGCCAGATTTCCAGTGGTTCATCTCGAGCCAACGGTGATGCTCTGAGTACATCTCAGGAGCGATGGCTTATCGAGTCTCCGGCTGAATGCGATATCCTATTCGCCTGCAATATAAAGGCCTTTACATATAGTCGTATATGTAAAGAGCCAGGGTATGCAGAATCTTTGGCACAAATTAAACATTAGGGATGGGATCTTACCTGTGGTGCCGTTACTAGCCTTGTTGTCTCCCCAGGATCCACCAGGTGTACTGAACGCTGAAAAAGGACTCGGTGTTGTTGCCTTGGGTCCGGTTGGTATCGAGGGCTTGTTGGTATTTTGGGTATTTGAAACAAATGGGCTTCCTCCAACAGATCCGTTGACTGTAGGTTTAGCAGTCGTGTCTTCGTGTATCGTTTCGTGAATAAGCTGAGGGAGCGTCCTTGCACCACGCTTCTTCTCGACCAGGCTGTGGGAAAATTGGTGTTTTAACCGAAGATGAGGCAAGGAACTTCGGTTGTCCAACTTTGCGTATTGGCGACTGGTGTCAGAAGGGGTTTCTTCGCATTCGCCGAATTCGATGTTATGAAGCTCCGCAAACTCTATGGCCTGCTCAACAGTATCAAAGCGAAGGAACTTGTTCAAGACAGCAGCCGTAACATCCTTGGAAGTTTCTCGAGGTCGAGCAAGAGCTCGCTTGATAGCAGATAAGATGCAACGTCGTAGTCTGGGAAAATGGCATTCTGCAAAGCAAGCCATTGTATAAGAAACCTTTGGATCTTCCACTATTCGAAAGTACGATTGGTAGGCCGATGACGCAGCCAAAGACGGCGCGTCTGTGAGAGGTCCATGAAAGTCTTGAGTGTTCTGAAGGGCCTCGACCAGCGACACTGCTGTGCGAACCTCATCCGAGTCCTTCCACAGATTCGGCTTCCATTGGCGTTGAAGGGTCTCGATAATATTTGAGTCGTATGCATGAAAGATAAGGTAGTATGCTCGAAACTCGGGCTCGTTCTCACAGCGGATGCCCTGGTCGTTGCAATCATCGTAGGCGTCACGGAGAGATAGTAGAGCCTTTCCTAACTGCTCCAATTCCTGCTGTTCCACAAAATCTTCAGGTGCTTTACCGTCTTGAGTAAGTAGGTGCAGTGCCGTGACGTGGAACCTCGCAATGTTCTCCAGAACGTAGACTTGTATTTTCATTTCGTCAGGCGTAAGAGACGAGAAGAAGGTAAAGTCTCGGCGAATCGCTCGTGTTCTGTCCCAGAGGAAGCCATGCAAACCTGGAAGATTTGAATCCTCGCGCAGTAGATCATCAATAAGATAGTCCAGTGTCCTTTTGAGAGCCGGTATCGATCGTACATCCATGGGAAGAGGTGCCTCCTGACCAGCAGCAGAGCGAGCGAGCTTCTTGATCATGCGACTCGTATTGGCAAATGTTGTTTTAGGATTCTTCTCGGGTTGATGAACATCCATCTCGTTGATTCGCGTGATCTTTTCGTACTCGGGACACATATCCTCGCAGATACCCTTGAAGTCAATGGCATCTTGAAGTGTCTTTCGCTTTTCAGGATCGTCAATCAGGCCGGCCTTTGTTAACGACGCGCGTGCCTTGCTGCGGTAGGCCTCGTATCTCTCGCGGAATTTCGAGACCTCACCCTTGTTCTTAGGGTTTCCAGGTTGTGATGGCCATTGTGGAGGGTGTATACCGTCTTTCCGCAACTGCTCGTATACTCTCTTTGCATGAGGGTCGTCGGAATGATAAGATTCGGGAACGTGATCATCTTGAGCGTCGGCGCTCGATGACGAAGTTGGTCGCGATTCATCGCGCGTCGTCGCGAATGGGTTAGAGCCGTTGTTACGCGCGTTTTGACCTGTTGATTTTTTGGACGAAGAGGCAGTAGCGAATGGGTTTTTCTTTGTATCGATCTGCTTCTTCTTCTCGTCACCTTTGCGGGTCTTGAGCCTACCGCCTCCGTCACTCAAGTTGGCATCTTTGCCTTTAAAACCGTTCTTCGTCTTCCGCTTTGCATCACTATCGCTCTGGTCGCCAAAGGCCGATGTTCGCTTATTTCGCTTCGTCTTGGAAGAATCGTTCGCGCCATCAATGCCGAATGCGCTTCCTTTGTCGTCAGACTTGGTCGCGAAAGGATTAATCGCTGGAGATGGACTCCGCGTTGGTTGACCAAAAGCCGAAAACATCTGGTTTGATGATGCAACAGACGTCGCACTCATCTAGGGAATCGTTTGAACATGAGGGGGAGTTAAAGCGCGCGAAATGCGTGGCGTGACGTGGTTGTTATAGCGGGTGGTTAGTGAAGACTCGATGTAGAATTGATTGAGTCCGTCCAAGCTGTACCTAGTTCCTATTCTGGGGAGCTTTCGTCTGCAGGACCCACCCAACACGTGACGTGCATTCATAGGACAATGGTAAGGATGAGACAATTTAACCATCCGTTGTCATGATAGCGACTCAGAAATATCAATTAAAGTAAAGTTAAATGTTTCATTGTACTTGTTTTACTCCTAAACTCCTTTTTTTGTCCCATGCAGATCGACCGTGATCCTTTCTACCTATTCATTTCGCACTGAATCATGATCTTGCCTTGTAGGCTCGGCCTCCAATTCGAGCAGGTCCCAGTCCCCTTCGAATCTCTTCCAATTGCTCAATGCCGGTCTGAGGCCTGTTCTTCTTGTTCGTCCTCTTCCCTGGCTTGGTAAAGTTTCCGAGGAAGTCATCCATGATGTTGTCAAAATCACCACGGATAGGACCTTGAACCGTGGACATGGTGGACACAGCAGAGACCGACTGCATGTCATCATCCATGTCCTCGTTATATGCCTCCTCGATCTTGTCGAATCTCGCGTCCAAGAGAGTCATCTGCTCAGTTCGCACTAATGAAGAGGAAGTCATGGAATAACTTGAGTTGTCAGTAAGAGCTCCCTTTCTCTTCTTGCGTCGGCCACCGTTTGTGGTGGTTGTCCACATGGACTGCATCTCGGACTGTGATGGCGCAACTGGTGCTTTGGCACCCTTCTGCTCCTTCTTGAATTGCTTGAAGTCTTCAAGCCAGTCTTGAGAGGGGCCCTCTTCAGGCTGCTCCATCTGCTTCACAAGCTGGGGCACATGGTCGTCCTGGTATTCCTTGGTGGGCTTTGCTGTAGCATCCGACTCCCATCCATCATCTTCATCAAATTCCGCCTCCTCAAACTCATAGTCTTCCAGCTCTCGGCCGTCCTTGGCTAGCTGCTTGAAGATGTCATCATCTTCGTCGTCGACGAATGCGTCATCTTCCAAAGCTTCAAGGACTTCTCGCAGACGGGGGTCCATATCAGGCTGGAATCCCTTGAGAGAATCAGGAATCTCCTGCTGGGCTTCGTATGTAGCCCTGATAAGGTTCTTGGAAGGTAAAATGTCATCATCCAGAATATCCTCTGCACTCTGTTCGATATCCAACTTCCTAAGCGCATCATCAAGCGACTGCTTTTGTTTTCCCTTGCCCTTGTTTGCGGTAGCTTCAGACTCGACAAAGACAACCTCTCCACCTCCAGTGTTAAGATCTCGCAGATGCTGCATATAATCGTACTCGGAATCGTCGTAGTAGACACCATAGCTGGCTGCCTCTCCTTCGTTCGCGCGGACGCCTTCGGCTTCGTAACCCAACTCGGAAGCGAGATCATCTAGGTCCTTCGACTTGGAAGAAGATTTCTTGGTCTGAGTAGGGTTAAGCACCATTGCAGGCGCATTTTCGTCGTGGATGAGAGGGTCATTTTGCGGTCGGTGCACCAGCGTGAAGTGCTGGGCTGACTTCTTGTCACTGTAGAAAAATACATATATCAGTATACTAGATTAAAGTAATGACGAACCGAGTACTTACATCCATTTTCGAGGCATCTTGGCGGTTTGAAGCGACAAGAGTCTAGTTGTGAGGCGAGGGTGGGTGTTGGGCTTCAATCACACTCATCCGGGTACAGAAAATCTAGCGGGGTGACGAAAAAAATCCTTATCAAGATACCCACAGTTATCCACGACCCTGTCAACTGGCTCACACAGTCTCAAAGCTAATTGTGAAGTGACAAATTACAGTGTGAAGATGGTAATTGAAATACGGACAAGGACAAGGATCCCCGAAAATTCCATTTGCCCCTCCAAGAAACAGTCATTATTCAGCGGGGCAGTCAGTTGATCGCTACAGCCCTCTCTCAATTCAACTCAAACCAATTCTTTACACAACCTTTATACCCTTGATTGAAATATAGTGCCTTGCCTTGGAACAGAGATTCCTCGTATACCAAAGACCAAAAGCGCACCAGACTATACTTCAAATTAAGCCGCCAAAATGGTTCTGGCAAAGTCCAAGAACTCGGTCGGTTTGGGCAATGCCCTTATGAACGATCGCTTCGGTAAAGGCAAGGGAGCCGAAAGGAAGCGAACTTCTGCCATCACCAGAACGAACCACGCTACCGGCGAACAATATCTCGTCAACGAGAAGAAGGATGCTTCTTGGGTCAAGATGCGCTCCGTCACGGAGCAAGGCGATTTGGACGAGTTTTTGGCTACCGCCGAGTTGGCAGGAACCGATTTCACTGCCGAGAAGACGAACAATGTCAAGATTATCCACACAGACCAGAAGAACCCATACCTTCTTTCGGCGCAAGAGGAGAGAGACGTTCTTGGAAAGCATAAGCAGCACAAAGGCCGTTTATCTGTGCCTCGAAGACCCAAGTGGGATTCCACAACAACACCAGAGGAGCTGGATCGACGAGAGCGAGAGAGTTTCCTTAATTGGCGACGCGGCCTGGCTGAACTGCAGGAAAACAACGATCTTCTTATGACCCCCTTCGAAAGAAATTTGGAAGTTTGGCGACAACTCTGGCGTGTTATTGAAAGATCTGATCTGATCGTCCAGATTGTTGATGCGAGAAACCCTTTACTATTCCGCTCTGAGGATCTCGACGATTACGTCAAGGAAATCGACCCCAAGAAAGAGAGCCTTCTTCTTATCAACAAGGCAGACATGATGACACCCAAGCAACGAAAGGCTTGGGCGAAGCACCTAAAGGAGGCAGGTATTGCTTATCGTTTCTTCTCGGCCGAGTTGGCCAAGGCAGAGAATGAGGCAAGGGATCTTGAGGATTCAGATGACGAGTCAGCTGCTTCCGCCCCGGAACCAACCGAGGAGCAGGGAGAAGGCAGCGGCCACCAAGAGCAAGAAGGCGCTCCTCTGACTGAAGAGCCCGCAAAGGAGACACAGATCGATCAGGAGGCCAAGGCAGCAGATGAGGCAGACGATGTTGATACACAAATTTTGACAGTTGAGGAGCTGGAGGGTATTTTCTTGCAGCACGCTCCTACAGACGCTGGTAAGATACTTCAGACAACAAAACAACCAAGAGTCTTGACTAACTTATCAATAGGCTCAGATCATAAGTTGCAAGTTGGTTTAGTCGGTTACCCCAACGTTGGTAAATCGTCCACAATCAACGCTCTTATCGGCGCCAAGAAGGTCTCTGTTTCATCGACACCCGGAAAGACCAAGCACTTCCAAACCATCCACCTCAGCCCGAACGTTATCCTTTGCGATTGTCCCGGTCTCGTCTTCCCCAACTTTGCCACCACCAAGGCCGACCTCGTCTGCAATGGTATCCTTCCTATTGATCAGCTTCGTGAATTTCTCGGTCCCGTTGGTCTTGTTACTCAGCGCATCCCTCAGCCTTTCCTTGAGGCTATTTATGGTATTCGCATCCGTACTCGAGCCATCGAGGAGGGCGGTACCGGAATTCCCACCGCTAGCGAGCTTCTCCGCTCCTACGCTCGTGCACGTGGTTTCCAGACGCAAGGTCTTGGTCAGCCCGATGAGTCCCGAGCTGCTCGTTACATCCTCAAGGATTACGTGGGTGGCAAGCTGCTATTTGTTTCGCCGCCTCCAGGAATTGAGGATGCTGCCGACTTCAACCGTGGACTCTATGACGAGGAGCATCTCCCCGAGAAGCGACGTGCTGCCCTGTCTGCTGCTATGGATCAGCTCTCTGTTGCCGACCCAGCCAGCAGCGAGCCTTTCCTTGCCATGGACGACGATGCCATTGATTTAGAGTCAACCGTCGATGTCCCTCTTCCCGCTGGCCCCAAGTCCCAGAAGCTCGACAAGGGTTTCTTCGGGCCATCCAGCTCTCAAGGTCATGTTACCAAGCCTTTTAACTACCAATACTCAGAGCAAGGCAAGGAGGACCCTCTGGCAGGCAAGCACCTGTCAGGCCGAAAGGCTCGCACAATGGTTGCTCTTGAGAGCGGCCTCGACCCCAAGGATGTTGCGATGGCTTCCAGTAAGAAGCACTTCAAGGGCAACCCCAAGGGTGGAAAGGGCAAACGACGTGCTGCTCGTAAGGCAAACGCCGAAGAGGACTAAACGAAAACAAAAAGAACAAAGAGTAAAAACAGAAACAAAAGTAACGGATACAAAGGCATTGGAGGTACAAAAGGCGGGCTTCGGGAACGGGTGCATTGGGTCTGATGGAAAAGGATCTGGTTATGGACAGGCTTTAGGTCTAAGCTATGATACGACGCATATCTTTGCCATCACGGTTAGCTATGGAATTAAATGGACATTTCTTTTGTTTAAACGACACGGTTAAGCATTGTACTTCTTATAGAACTGTACCCAATCAAAACGTGACTGGGCTGTGTGTTGCGATTCATGTCATTCACGTATTCAAATGACTAAACTAATAATCTCATGACAAAAAAAAAAGGAAAATTTTGGGTATTGACTGTCTACTTCCTCCTTAGTTTCGCCCCGAATAAAGGTCGTGCCGTGTGATAACAAAGTAAAAAGAAAAAGGAAATTCAGATGCTATGCCCATACATGACATGTGTCAGTTGTGCCCCAACTCCGCAAAGCAAAGTCATCCTCCGTTAAAGCGTTGTAATAGGGGTAATGCTCAGGTTGATAGGTTCGTAGGTAAAATGGTGCGTGCGTGTGCGTGTGCGTGTGCGTGCGCGTGCGCGTAAATGCAGGAACAGAGACTCGGGTCTTCATAAGATGTCAACTTCATCTGACACTTCCTCGCGATTCGCGACCTCCTCTCGACTCCCGGCCTCCCTTGGATTCTCGACGGTCTTCAGACTTAAGGAATAGTCGTTTTGTACCACCGACTTTACCGAGTTCTCCGAACTGGCTGGTCGATGATGATATTCTTCGTTCACCGTTGCTAGCGATTCTGACCTTTTCCTTAACGCTTGCGACCCAAGCCTTATTCTCTTCGCTCATCTCAACCTTCTTGCCAGTAGGTCCTGCAAGTCCAAGGAAAGAACTATCATCCTCCTTCCAGCTGAGGTGAGAGTTCGATCTTGATCGGCCGAATACTTCTGGGGGACCTTCATCTCCGGGTGTTCCGAAGCTCATCTTTGGCATTTCGCTCCCCACGGCACCAATACTCCGCCGCGTCTTACGGACGGATAGAGGGGATATGGGAGACGTCTCAACCGCAGACTGAGGACGGCCCCCAGGACTGGATCCAACATTGGATCTTCGAGAGCCGGGTGATTCTGGAAGGACCTCTACTTTGGCGTTGGTCGCAGCAGATCGTCGCTTGTGATGACTGGCATATTCCTTGAGGTATTCACCAAGATCGGCCCAACCACCGCCCACACGAACCATAACTCGTTCTCCCTGCTCACCAACACAGCGGATGAAGAGCTTGATTGGAGCTTCACCAGTCGATCTAGAAAGGTGGTAGACCTTAATCTCTGAGTGTCCACGGTTTCGCACCCTGGTGTTCTTCGCTGGTGAAAGGGTGAATGAGGGCGTGCCTGCCCTAGAGTTAGAGGAAAGCCCCGAGGTGCTTCTTCGAAAAGGCTCGATGGAGGGTCTCTTCCTGACACGTGGTAGCTGCAGGTCTGGGGGGTTCAGGTTGACCTTGGGCTCGGTAGTCAGCTTGATCTTTGCAGGTATTGAGTCGATAATATGGCTGATTTGTTGTTGTAAATGCTGGTCACCAGCACTGCCTCGGTGTTCGAAAGGAGCCGGATACTCCGAGATTGAGAAAGAGTCATCAAACTCGTCATTGTAGGACTCGTCTATTTGCTCCATGTGCATCGTTGAAATGTCAAGGTCGTCAACGTTGCGGTCTGGTGCTAAGAAAGGACTACCGAGAGGCGCTGACAAGGTTCCCTTTGATTCCTCCGGCGGAGAGCTAGGTGGGCTTGCCTGAATATACTCTGCTTCGCGAATTCGAGTTCTGGGCAGATCGGGAGAGCCAGATATCTCAGGCGGGTCGCTAGACAAGGCACCAAAATTCATGCTCGATGAACGAACGGCAAGCGTTCGCGAGGGGTCGATTCTTGGCCGGGGTAGAGGTAGAGGGCGAAGAGGTGGTAGTTCGGGAGAGATTTCTCGCTCATAGTCGTGCGAGAAGCTGTAGTTGTATTCGGGTGTCTCGGGGGTGCGAGTAAACATCGTTGGGGAGTTGAAATCCTCCTCGATACTCTGTCTCGGTGCTTTGGGAGTATTGGGCAGAACGTCCCTGGTGCCATCAAAAGTATCATTCTCCTCCTCACAAGTTTCATCGACTTCTTCGATTGGGAGAAATGATGGGGGACTCTCAGGTTCGCTCTCGGATGAGCTGTCCCTCTTGTGCCATCCGGGCACAATGGTATCAGCCTCGGACAATCCAGAGGGAATTCTTGACTTGGTGGGTTCCATAGATGTGTTGATGTCTTCAGAAGAATCGCTTCTGATTATCTTGGGCGGCAAAAGTAATGGAATCGGCACAACTCCCGTGCTGGCGTTGATTGGAGTGTCATCATCACTGTCGGGTTCGTCGGCAATCAGAGTGTCACCAAGCGAAGCAGGTTCCTTGGCTTCTGCGTCTTGTTTGACTGGTGATGGCGATCGTGGAGGTTCTGTGGGTTGCGGTGGTGGATCTGGCTGTGCAGGGGTGTTTCGCTCAGTTTCCCGGATCTTCTTCTCACAGACTACCACCCAGTCACTATAACTGGACTCAACGGCTTCCATGCGGTCCAACCAATCTCCGGGGAGAGTATCGGATAACCCTTCTAAGCAATCGAGCATATAATCAAGAGATCGGCCCGGACGCGCAATCAATTGCTCGATGTGCTTTTTCATGACGTCGAAAGTGTCTCTTGTAAGGGTCGAATCTTGTGGTGAACCATCGTCCTTTTGTGGTGTATCTTTCGTATGTAAGGAAATAGCCTTGAAGGCAGATTGCAGAGCAACTTCGGCGTCCTCCAGGGCAAGTAGTAGGGTTGGGACACGGCGTAAGGCGCAAAGGCGTAAATCCCAGGTCTGCAATAAGCGTCTCAAGTTGTTCAGAACAGGCAGCGCATGCATGACAATCGTCATGATCACAGCTGTGTGGTCTTCCATGCGATTGTAACTGGAGCGTGAGAGCTGCGCAGCTGCGTTGAATTCGGAAAGTGGCGTTCCTGGCCGGGACATGGCATCGATGTGGTTCATACGAATGTGTGTCTTGATATCCTCGATACCAAGTTCGGACAGATCACGCTGAATATCAGCCACTCTCCGGTCGTACTTTGCTACATCGCGAGCTAGCAGACTTCCCATCCATTGGTCATCCCCCTCCTCGGGCACGGAGAGCTGCATCGATCTGTTTTTTCGTTCCTCCTCGCTAGGTATCTCGAAACCTGACGAGCCTGAGCCAGATGGCCATGGCCAAGACTGTAGCTCCTCAAGCCATACCCAAATGGCATGCGATGCAAGGGCGGTTCGCATAGTAAACTCTCGATCGGTAGTGGAAAATTTGTCGAGCGACGCCCTCAGGGCGCCGGTGGCTGTGTTGAGGGCATCGACGACATTGCGCGGGCCGAGATTGGCAAGTATATCATCGGAAATTCTATTTTTCGGAGGCGGCGAAGTGGAAGTAGAAGTGGTAGGGGCATGGGCATGGGCGTGGCGCGCATGCCTAGCGACTTGCGTAGGTGTATCGCTCATGGCTACTATAGGTAATTCTCTTATCCAGCAGACAGACAGACGGGGATCGGGCGGATGAATCGTAGAATCATGATCTGTCTAAGAGCCTGGGGACAGGTCGATAGGGCGAGGGACAGTGATGGTTTTGATGCCCATGTCGACGAGAAGATACGTAAGAGTCGTCAAGTCGGTCGCGGTCAGTTGTTAGGGTTTTTCTCTCCTTCTTTTCTCTTCTTTTCTTTTTCTTCTTTTGTCTTGGGTTTGATTGGTAAACGTGATGACGTGAAGATTCTTTGTGTCGATGCAGCAAGGATGGTAATGCGGGTCGAAAAACAACTCAGAGCTAAGAGAAGTGAAGCTGTTGGTGACGCAGATGACACTGGTAAGATGCTTGCTTGATGCCTTTCAACTACAAAGAAAAAGGTAACAGTAATAAAGGTGACTAGTCGACAGGCTGGAGGCTAAGGAGCGACAAAGAGGGTCTTTGCAGAGCCACTCTATAAAGACAAGACGGAATAAAGAGGGAAAAAAGGAAGCAATCGCCGATGGGAAGATGGCGGTCAAAAACCGACCTGGCGGAGGTTGGTAAGTTGAGTTGTATTAAGTCGAGGTTGAAGTCTCAATCGGAGCTTCTTGAGTGGACGGAGAGCGGGCCACGTCGCGGTCTGGTCCCGTCGCGGTGCAGGTAAGTCGTGGATCCAGCTGCAGCTGAGGCCTGTAATAAGTGAGGTTTTACGCTGGAAGATGGAGTTTGTCCAGTAAAATTAGCGCCCTGATTTTTTAAAATAAAACCAGTTCAAGTCGGTCGATGAGTGGCTTGATTCGTGACCCTCCAAGGAAGGAAGTCAAGTTGCAGATTGATCAAATGCTCCGTGCGCCCCTAAAAACAAAAGGGAGAGGTACAGTATTTCGTAAATTTGACGTCGCTCAAAAGTCAATACAAGGTCAGCTGGCGATATAGATCGATAGTCGAGGTGATGTGATGTGATGGATGTTAGGTGAATAGCCGGATTTGGACAGAATGTAGTTGGAGAAAAGTGGGCGAATGACGAGACGAGAATGAATGTAACAAACAAGAAGAAGGATAGATAGGTCAAAGGACAAGGAGTCCCTTGTTTGAGAGAATGAATCAAGCTCAGTTGTAAAGATCAAGCTGGAGCTATACAACGAACAGAGCTTTGCTTTGTTGGAAGCTGTGACCACGTAGAGATACTCTTATGAATGATGAAGTGGTAGAGAGGCATAGAATGACCATTGACGAATGAGGTACAAGAAGCAGACTGCAAGTAGACAAAGAATAATAACCATAGTCACAGAATATTATTCAAGAGGGAAAAATAAAATGAATTGGGGAAAAAAAGGTTCAGGCGATCGATGGGTACAGAGTAGGTTAGGTTGAAAGGAGGAAGAAATGAGCTCTCACGACAAGACAAGGGCAAGATGATTTACAGTACAGTACTGTATGTACATCAACTAGGTAACTACTAAGCTATACATAGTAACCAAACATACATCCATATAATTAAATAAGATGCCCCTCCCTCGCCCTTCGCCTCATCTCATCTCATCTCGCCTCGCCCCATAATCGCAATTCCTCCGGCTGTTGCTCTTGGTCGCCTCTTCTCCCTCCCTCCCAGTCCCAGAAAAAGAGCCAAGACCTGACTAACATCAACCGAAAAAACTTGCTTGCAGGAAAGGAGATCTCGCTTTGACTTGACTTGGGAAAGGATCCGCTTCAGACACTCGTTAAACGAACAAGCGAATTTGTTAGCTTGATTGCCCTGTACAACGAGACCAGGGACAGAGGTATAGACTTTGGTCGCTCTCAATGGATATCTTCAACAAGATGTTTGCTTCTTTGTCCTTATAGTGTAAGGCATCTTAGGTAGCACATGATAACGTAGTGGTTGTACCTGAACTAACTTGACTTGGTAAGATAATTCAAGACACAGAAAAGGGGCAATCAAAGAAACTCCAGACTTGTCAACTTACATGATCCATTCCACTGAAAGCCATTTCTCCATCCGGCACTTTCTGTCTCTCTCTTGCCAATCAACTCTGATCATCAGACCCCATCTCTGCTCATCATAGCTTTAGCTCCAGGTTCAGCTAGCTACCCCTGTCAATCATCACCCTGTCAGCCGTCATGACGGTAATTAAATGAATGTCAACAAACACATTACGCCATTCATAACAGCCCTCTTATCTCGTATTTCTCTACTTTACGGATACTGCTCCTCCATTCGCTTCTTAGTTGTTGCTCTCTCTGAATAGATGTATGTTGTGCAGTGAAGCCCAAGCTTGTCTTCTACCAGGGACATCCATCTACCCCATTTTTTCAAGCTCATGGAGGTCCCCTGTAGGCAGGGTCTTCCCTAGTGAGACATTCACATGTTCTCAGCTACGCCGCTCCATTGCAGTGAGTCGTTGGGTGTATTCTTGGGGTAATTTGAAGATCGCTGTACCTGGTGTTCCCCGTCATTGCAGTCTGAAAGACTACAGCAGCAGATAGACAAAAGGAAACAGATGAATTATCCTTCAAGGTTTAGGGTGCCAAAATAAAGTAGGCTAAATGATTATTTAAACAAGCATAATGTGAACCAATTATTTCGTCTTTTATGCTCGCAGTGGCAAGGTCATGATATGATGTGATTTCCCATGATCGACCTTGTGATAGCTTTATCCGTATTGCTCAATGTCGTTGAGTTCAATAACCGTTCATTATCAGCTTAGAATGTAATAGGTATGTATGTATGACAGGTAGTCGATGGATCAGTTGATCAACTTCAAGTCTCATTCCATACATGCTACATCCTCAACCTTATCCAGCCAGCACATTCTTCAGACTCAGTCACAATTTTCACCTTTACAAGAGCGCAAAAGATTAAGTGGTACTTTTATCATCATTCAACTACTGATCCACTAAAACCAAAAGGGCGACATGAATGTCCGCCAACAAAAGAGAGACTTTAAGCCTCTGCAGGCATCTCTTCCCAGTCTGTACGTGATATCCAACGCCAGAAGAATCAATGTGTCTTCGTCAACCATCATGTCAAGCGTTACTTTTTTGTTCATGCCCTTGAGAAACATAACCCCAAACCCCCAAGACAAATCCACCGTTCCCATGCCAGAAAATACAAATACGCCTCCTGGAGCCAAAGCTCATGAACGCCTGTTTCTAATGCAGTGCACCACGTACACCAGGCAACGAGAAAAGGCCAAATATAAGATCAACCCAAAAAGTCATTCATCCAGAATTGTATATAAATGTGATGGTACGAGCTTCAAGCTCTATGCCGACGCCGAAATGCCGTGGTTCTCAGGCTGACGGGATGCCGCGTCTGCCTCAGCGTTGATGGCCCAGGTCAGAGCTTGCTCGGCAGTCATGGTAGGCTCTTCAACGCCCAGTACTCCAGCAATCAAGTTATCGTCTTTGTTGTTCACGCCCTCGGGAGGGAATTGGAGCCACTGGTCAACATCGAAATCAGTGCCAGCCACGGCGTTCCAGTCGAATTCGTCATGGCCCTGCATGAAATCGAGGTCCATCTGACCAACATCAAGCTGAAGCTCTTCAGAACCGGCGCTGACGCTGGGTGTCAAGCCCGCGTTGGGGGAGTCCATCTCCGTTGTGGGTGGTGAGTGCGTAGGCATCTCCAGAGCTGCCGCATTAACAGTGTTCGGTGGCATCATGGTAGGAGCTGCTGGCACAGGCTGGGGCTCCTTTGGCCTCTCGTTGAACAGCGACTCCGAAGCGGTCATGTATGGCGCATTCTCGGGTGGCGGTGTCTGAGCGCTGAACTCGATTGGCACACGCTTCATCATAGCCAAGGTCGAAGGAGCAACGCTGGAGTTGATATCGATAGCAGCCTTACGAAGAGCAGCGTCGAGGAAACCAGTTGCGTAGTCGGCGGCAGCATACACCTCTCGGAGCTTCTCCATAACTCGCATGCACTGACGGAATCCTCGTGTGGCACGCTCTCGAGCTTGAGGAGTAGGGTTCTTCATCTCCAAGAGATGGATGATCATGGCAGGGAGGATAACTGTGACACCGGTCGTAGGCAAGAATCGCTCCAGACGGTACTGGTGAAGCTCGGTGGCCATTCGGGTGATGTGCATCGCGGCATCGCGCACTCGCAATCGAGACATATCCTGGACTTGTCGGGATGTTGTCGGTGCCTGGAGCGGAGAAGATGGCAGGAACTGGGGTCGATGAAGAGCCGAGATAGTAGTATAGTAGACCATGTGAAGTAGTGTTCGCTGAACAGCAACTGTCGATCGTCCGTCCTTGACATCCAAGGGTGTCAAAGTGCGGTATTGGCAGCAGGCCGGGAGTGATTCGGCCCATGCCATGAGTTCGTGGTCCACCTCAGTAACGCTCTCAACGTTATCTAGCTGCTTGTTAGGGAAAAGCATCATCGTGCTGTTGGTGGTGTTTTCCGGCTTCATCTTATCTCGGATCAGGACCGAGTATTGTGCCTTGAGCATACGGCTGATGCAGACGCAAAGCTGAGCCTTGGCAATGCACATGATGGCCAATTCTCGTTGCATATCAAGGTTGCGAACCAATGCGCAGCTGGCCGGAATAATGGTGTTACTCTCGGGGAGCATCTCAATTTCGAAATCACTCTCCTCGAGCATAGGAACGTCAAAGTCCTCGTCCTTGATACGTGTGGGACGTCGCATACCGAGTGCGATAAGACGGTCTCGCATGAAACATGACCACCAGATTCGTTTCCAGAGCTTCTGCTTTGCTGGTGCCATGCTCGTGGATCCGGGGTTGCGGTGAAGACCGATGGTGTGTGCCAGCGAGATGGCCACACCCATCCAATGCCATGTGTCTTTCTGGTCATCTGGCGTTTCGTACCAGTATGTCATCAAAAGCAGTGCCTGCACAAGTACAAGGCGATCTGACTCGTAATCAAAGTCGTACAGCAACTATTGCCAAGTTAGTCTAAGTCGCTACCACGTGGTCGGAATTGTCACCCACCCTTGTCTTCTGGAAGAATGACTTGCGGGCTGCTTTTCGTGTTGTGTAACCGCCCTCCCTAAGGTACTTCATGTCAACGAACGCTGACGCCGCAAACATGACGGCTTGGTAGAGGAACAGACTGGTCTGTCCATTCTGGCCATCCCGGCTGCTGATAACTCCGAGGAAGGCATTCAAGTCCATAAGCGGCATGTAAGGATGCACAAATTCGACGTAAGCCTGTAGTAAGGCATTCTGTAGTGGCAAAGTGGGCACAGAGAGTGCACCCTTGATCTTCAGATAATCGACATCTTCCGGTGCAATCTTATTCGGCAGAGGTCGTAGAAACGCAGGGAATTGAGGCGGAGGGATTTCCTTTTCGTCGAGGGAACCAAGCAGCTGATTGTTGCGTAGTGTATCGAAGAATGCAGGATCCGGGATAATACTGGACCATGACGAACGATGTGCGCTAGATTCTATGGGGTGCACCTTGCTGAGGGACGAAGAGTCTCGGCGGTAGCCAGATCGTTGATCTAAGGTCTCGTGGTCAGCCAAAGTCCCCGAATTTCAACTGTTTGTCTAATTTTCATGTGATCGAAGGGGGGGTAATCGAGTCGAGTCGAGTAAGCGTCAAACTAAAGGTAAGGATTGTGGACAAGTCGACAGTGGGGTACAGGGGGCGGCTGAAAATGCGGAGAACGGACATGACCCCCCAAAAAAGAAAGACAAAGAGCCCAACCAATGGAAAGGGCGAAAGACGAAGCGGAGCGCACAGAAAATGAGGGTTGAAAGCTGGAGGCGTAGCGTCACGTAGCGCAGTTCAGCGCTGAGTAGGGAAAAACTTACAGATCATGTGAGGAACATGGCTGTCGAGTGCGGAGCTGTTGAGGAAGGTGCTGGGACCGTCGATGCTGCTTGTCGAAATAGCTGAACCGCTGCTTGGTCGTCGAAGATCCGCTGTGCTTATGACTGGATTGGCACTTTTACTGGGAGCTGGGCCTGGAGGATTGCTGATCGATGGTGTTTTGCAGCGTAATTGGGCTTCTGTAGAGACAGACTGGCCTGCGGTGCTGGCCGTGTAAAGGTTCTTCCTGGAGAAATTGTTAGCAACGTGAATTCAATCAACATGCAACTTGATTCAATTGTCATCTTTTTGCATGACAAATTCATGATCATAATCTCAATTATACCGCCCAGTAGAAAGGGGGAATTGTAATAACGACTCATGGCCAGGCACAAGAGTTTACTCACTTTCTTCTGCGGCTCTCTTGAACAACGCACTGCTCAATTGTCAGTCACTGCTTTTAATCCTAGAGTTTCTCGACTTCTGGCGGTCAACAATCGAGATCGACAAACGTACCTCGACGTTATCCCAACGGCAGTTTCCACAAGGAGCTCCCTCAACCACGTCGCACCGAACTTTGCGTGCTCGACATGACACGCAAGCACGGGCAGCGCGTCGCTTTGTGATCTTCTCTGGCTGCTCTGAGTCGCCCGAAGGCGAGGAGCGCTTCTTGCTGTTCTTTTCGGGGGCTGTCTTTGATGTTGATGTTGGCGATGACGGAGCAGCCGCGCCTTGTGATGCTTCTGTTGTCATGGCCATTCTCGCGGTGATGTGATTGTGAGAGTTGTGATTGTCGTGTAGACGTGTTTACGTCCTTGTAAATAATTCTGAAACTAATATCCAGTATTTTGTATGCCTGAGCCCAATGTGGTCGGATATGGCGGAAGTAAGGCTGGCAAGATTAACTTGAAGTGAGGCGATAAGTGTCGTTGCTATAAATCATTGAACGTCGATGTAACTAAAATGCGAGTGGTAGAGTGGAGATTTGTCTTGAGTAGTAGTTTTTGGTAGTTGTCGTTCGAGTTCAATTGAATTTATTGCCGATGAGTCTGGTCGTGATCGTTGCTTTTCAGGAGATGAGTGGAGAGTAAATGAGTCTGGAAGAAGTGACGGCTCAAGAAATCGACTTCAATATTGTGAGTCGATGGTTGTAGTCTCGTCTTAGTTGTGAGACTTGTGACGCTTCACGATCAAAGAAGACTAAGAACAAGAACGAAGTCACACCAGATCTTGTCTCTTCAAGTAAGTACGTAGGAAGATTATGAAGCCAAGGGGATGGAAATCCGGGGGAAGCAGGTGGGGGGTGTGGATGGTTATTATATTCTCATGGCTAGTCTAGTCTGGCTGAAGGTAAGGTCACGGAGCGGGACTCTACGAGTTTGATCGATGGGGAGAAACAACAAGGTCAAGAACAGCAACAAAGAGAGAGAGAGGGAGAATTAGAAAGAGAGCCAAGTGGAGGAGGGTGTGTACGGATGTACATACGAGGCATTTGAGGGTCTCTGGGTAAGGGTGTCGATGGCGTTTGAGCGCAGAGAACAGGGCTCTTCAGAGGGTGGGTCTATTGATTCCACAGCGAGGAACCTGGATGATGGATACTGTAAGCGGGTACTCTGGCCTACGCACACAGTCTGGAGGTGGCACAGTGACACTGACATTGGATTATTGGGGTGCGTGTGGAGATTTCTATCGGTCATGATGCTGCGGCGGGCAGAGAAACGATGGGGAAGAGCTGCAAGGAGTGCGTAATGAGAGCAATGAATTCCATAGTATCAAGTTGAATAGCCATGAGCCAAGACAAGAATTGGGACCAATATCAGAACAAACAATTGATAACAAGTATAGCCTATGAATGGGTCTTTAAACTTTGAGTCTCACATGGCCAAGCGCCTCAGTTTTGTCTGGGCATTCATTCTATTCAAGGAACTCGAACCACTTGAAATCTTGCTGGTTTACATACAATCCTCACTTACCGAATCTAGGATAATATTTATACATCAAGGTTCATTTCTTCTTCGACAATATCGATGCGATATGCGGATACACAGGTACATGTTCACCCATCACGCCAGATTTTCACCAACACTGAAACTTATGAAGAATAATTCCTAGCCCACACACTTTGTGTGCACCCTTCGCTTCGCTTTTATTTTTCACTTTAATCAGCCACCAGGGCGTCGAGACCAGCCCTCTTGGCGCTGGCGGGGGACCAGATGCAAGTTTCTTTCTTGGGTCACCGTCTAGCCATGGATGTTGGTCTGGGGGTTAGCGCTGAAATCATGCCCCGGTTATGGACGGACACGGCCGGGGAACTCAAGACCTGGTGATTTTTTCTTGAACGTTGTCCTCAACAATAGCTGGTTAATATAATGATGGATTCTGTCCTTGCACTGCCCTGTCCTGTCCTGAAAGATCCGGGGTAAGTTAAAATTCCGCGTCGACAAGCTGCCCCTCTCGTACCTAAGACCAATATGGATACAACTCCACGCGAGAGTGGGCGCTAGGTAAAGGTATGATATTGGCATCCAAGAGTTGACCGATGGCGAATAACTAAGCAACAATCAAATGCCAGTAGCAAATAGAATAAACGTTCTAGACGCCGTTACCGTATGTCTGGGACATTGAACTTAGCTTCAATCAAGATTCAGAACCCGGGGTAACAACGCGACGATGCTCCCTGACGCCATCAAGCTTGGATTTGGTCATTGCTCAGCTCTGGAGTAATGCAAAGAGATCACATGCTCTTGATCAAATACCACTCTGCTATCTGCCAAGCATGAAATAAGCAATTGACTAGAATATGGCCTAAGCACTGTCAGATGTCGATATCCTGACTCGAAAGATTCTATGTACAACAACAATAAGCCATTGTTAAATGTCGGTCAATCATGGTGAAAGTAAGAAGAAAGACGATGGGAAAAGTTCAAACTTCTCCAAACATTACCCCGACTTGGAGTGAGATGTACCCACATTGTCCCTCATCTTCACGATATCAGGCACTATACTGTCTGTACCTTGCTGGAAACCAACTCCCCGCCTCCACTGACAGCTTGTTGAAACTGGGGATCGAGTTCTGTAGCCAATGGCCTGCATGTATTCGATGCTCTAACGCTGTTTCGCTATTATTGAGCTAGGCCGACTTAACAGCAATCTCCCTGATTGAAAAGCCCTGACCAAAGATGAAGAAGGTGCCGTCCCCAGCTCCCGATTGTAACTGCCCGATTTGTGCTTTCCGATCCTGCCTGGTTCTTTCCCCCACAATTTGTCAGTAGAAGTGTGGAGAAACCAATCAGCACCAGTCTTGGTGCTTTCTCGTCCACTTAATCGAGTCAGCCGCCCTAGACCTTGGAGAGAAGGGGTGTGGGTGCCGTGTGTCTTCGAAACTGGAAAGGTTCAGTTCAGGTTGGGCGCAGCCATATCACGAGGTCGTTGAAAACGCAGAAATGCGGCCTGTAAAGAATGAGAGCCCTACACAACTCAGAGGTTTCATTTATGAGCAGTTCCTTTTCCTTCTCGTCATCGATTTGACGGTGCATCAGGGTAAAGTGCAGGTGGTCCATGATCCATCAAGTCAGAAGCAACCTGAAAGGACCGACGGACTTGATCTCTGCGGAGGAAGGTGTACCCCAGAGTTACTAGGGTCCTCATGGTTCACGAGCAGGAAGCTGCGGTCCATGCCAGGTTCATTTCAGATCCACTTCTACTCCGTAGTCTCGAGATCCCCTCACCGGCCCATCATGAAGTTAATCAAAGCGTTTCCATCTCCAGACCCACCCTCATTAATATTTATATCTGCTGCAGTGATTTGTAGCGATCTTCATCGAAACGCTTGAGCGCGTCGAATCATTGTTGAATCAAAGACAATGACGTTCATGTCGAAATATGCAGCCTCAAACGGTTCTTGTCCCTTTGGTCCGGTGCATCACTCTTCAACAGGGATGCATCTAGGTGTGCATTCAACCAATCAAACGCCGTCGACTCCAAGTGCGTCGCGCATCTTGGCCAATAAAGGAGATTAGTCGGCTATGTTCGGCTATTCAACATAGAGCCAAGATGAGCAGGTTGACGAATCAAGAGGCTGTGAAATCTCTGTCAAACTTCAATTCCACTTACAGTCAACGCAGTTGGAGTCTGGGGGTGGACGGAAGAGCAACACCGCTGTACATATTCGCAACGGTGTGCATTTGGTGGGACTCTCCCAGTCCGCAAAACTTATTATCCAGCGGCTTTTTGCAAATGTACAGCATCGCTTTTGGTCCGTCTTCATAGCGAAGCAAAGAGAACAAAATCTCGGTCGTGGTCATATCACACTGACCGAAGAAGCTGATCGAATACAACTTAGACCCATGAACATACCTAATCGACGCTGCAAGTTCCTACGTGTCGCGCTTGCATGTGCATACAGTATCGACACGCAATTAGAAAAGGTACTGACTGATTGTACCTGCAATTCGAGCTGATCCGAGACAGCAGATTATTCTCACTCCACCTGTCATGCCCCAGCCTCATCCCACCTCACCATCCTTTGGCTCGAGACACTTGATATCTTGACCTTCACCGTGTTTATCAAGGTCATGCGTGTTCTAAAAAGCTAGTGGGGACGTTATACACCAATTTTGTGACCGCCTCGATAAATTCCAAGGTGAAGAACCAATTTGGTATGGGAAACAAGCTAGCAAAGGTGAGACGGAAGGGGAATGCCAGGGATATGATGCACTGCGGTGCCTGAATGCCCACAACATCGCGATGCAAATCAATCACCGAAGGTCTAAAGCCTTAGCGGAGCGCAATCCGCAGTGGGACCCATTCCGGCCCCGGTGCCTCCGGTCGGATCCTATCCTGAGATCACCTCCCCCATCGGCCATATACCGAGCCGTACACCTGCGGATGAGAAGAAGGGGGGCGGGAAATGACATCCAACCAATCTGAACCCCTACGCCTCTTCTAGAGTCTACAGGTTATTTGTCCTTCTCCATGGGGTGCAAAGTGGACCTTGAGCCTCTGCAATGCAGCGTCTCGTGCCGGTTCAGAAAAAGAAAAGCCATCGTGATGCAGATGCAGATGCAGATGCAGCAGGGCTAAAGGCACGACCGGCCCTGACAATTGAGCTTTGGGCCAGCGGTTTGTGAGGTGTGTTCTTCAGATTCTCGTCCACTACCGGTTGGATCTTTTGCATCGTTTCGAATTCCCTCTTATCACAAGTCTGTAGCAAATGGAGCCAAAGAGGTAAGTGGTGTGGACGATCTCCCGTCCTGGAAGTTATTTGCACGAACCACTTTAAAATATCACGATTCAGTGGCCTCTAGTCAGGGTCGCAGTATCAAAATCACAGAACATACGTGCAGATGATTCTGCGATTCCATCGAAGGACATGGCTTACGACGTCGAGATCAACACACATCAGCTAATCAGAATTACTCGGGTTACTGCGAGTAGACATGTCGAGATAATGCCACGTCCTTCGCTGCATTCTCGGACATTTCCTTGACACCCCGTCAATATATGTATGCCCCGTCCGCAGTTGAGAATTGATATATCGACAACCACGTCAGTGCTGTGTTCAACTTTCAAGCAAACCCCCCACTTGCTACACTACGGAAGATATCCAGGTGGTTCATGCGTCTGATCCGGACCCGGAACAGGCTTTGATCGAAGCTGAGAGTTAGCATCGTGTTATTCAACAGTCCCGTCGTGACATGTATGGATATTTTGTACACGTAAAAGATTAGTGAAGCGAGAGCTTAACAAGTTCGTCGAGA